TTACACCTTCAGCCTTGGTTCTGGTTCAGTTTCCTGGCGTTCTACACGTTCGTCTTCAGTTCTCGGCTCCAGCTGTGAGGCAGAGGTCTACGCCACAGCCATGGCTGCACAGGAGCTGCGCTGGCTCACCTACCTGCTGACCGACTTGGGAGAGAGGCCTCGTTCTCCTCCAGTTCTGTACGTCGACAACAAGGCCACCATTGCCTTGTGTCAGGAGCACAGACTGGAGCACAGAACAAAGCACATCGCTCTCCGTTACTTTCTTGCTCGAGAGCTGCAACAGCGTGGCCAGCTTCGTCTTACCTACGTGGCCACTCGGGCCAACACTGCTGATATATTCACCAAGGCGCTTCCGCCTGGTGATCATCAGCGTTTCTGCACTTTGTTAGGCCTTGTGCCCACTCTTCCTCACTTGCTGTAGGCTTTGTTTGTACCATGATTTATATGTATTCCTGCATGCTTGTTCTTGTAGGTGATATCACTGTACTGTTGTTGTTACATATGTATTTCTGCATGTGAACTGGCCTTGTGGCCTTCTTGCTTGTGCTCAGACTGCGTGGTGACGTTGTGATCCACCCTGAGCTTGCTTTGCACTTCCTGACTGGTCTTGTGACCCTCTGTTCTCCCCCACTTTGCCTATGGGGGTGTGTCAAACATATGTTTATGTATGTTATAGTTTGGTTAGGCTTAGTGGGGTACTCACTGTGGGGTACAACCCCTTAGGTTTCTCCTTTGTACCTTCCCCCCTCGATAGTCCAAACACAACTTTCCCGTAAGATTCTCGACAATGGCCCAACCTCATCCTGCTGTGGCAGGCGCTGGCTGTGCTTCCCCTCTCCACCGTGGAGTGTGAGAGGGGGTTCTCCAGGCAGAACATCATCAAGTCCTGGGTGCGTGGAGCGCTCTGCAACGCGCGTCTGGGGGAGCTGATGCAGATATCGCTCCTGAAGTACGAGATCGAATGGCCGGAGGCACTGGAGGTGTGGAGGTCCATGCGGAGGAGGCGCCCTGTGAAGAGCCTGAAGCTGGCCGTGGCAGAGAGAGAGAGGAAGGGGAAGCAGAGGGAGGGTGAAGCTGTGGCTGCTGGATCTGCGGGGGAGAACGAGGACGAGGGGGAGGAGGAGGAGGACGACGATGAAGTGGAACAGGACTTGGCCGACGATCAGGAGGTCGTGGAAGAGGAGGACAACCCTTACCTATCAGACGATGAGGACGTAGAGGAGGTGTACTTCATTGACAAACCAGTGTAGGAAAGTTGAAGTTGTTGTATCAATCATTTTGAAGTGTAGTGCATTTATAGCAACCCTGATTTTGAGCTGTGAACCCTGACGGATCAGACTAGGACTTTGTTCGACACTGAGCTATCAGGGTAGCTTCCCTGTGAAAAATGTGCGATCATACCGTAATAGAGGGGGAAATTTTTTCCGGGAATCAGGGAGGCCTAAAACGAAACGTCAGCCCTGCCATTAGCTTCATGCGTTAATGAGTAATAAATGAGGGGGCGCATGCAGTGGAGAGTACATTTTTCAGTCACCGAGCTCTTTCCTGAGCTGTCATGCTGATTACTTATGGCTTATTGAATGCTTGAAGCTTAAATGATAGCATTCAATTGTTTTCTTGTATTATTGGTATAAATCCCATGTACACCTCACCATCAGACCCCCTTATTACACATATCCCGTTTCAATACTGGTCAACCCGTGAACTGCTCGCGCACATCCTTCGTGAAGCAACCGGGGCTAGTTGAAAGCTGTGGTGCATCTGTTCACCCGCCCCTGTGTCACCGACACTTTCACAACGAGCAGCATACCAAAGCGCGAACCCGCGTCAAATGCAGTATGGGATTTTGTTTTTGTTTATTTTCTTGGTTTATAGATAACACTTCTCTGGTTCCATCGGGAATTCACATAAGTGTCCAGACCGCCTTTCTGTTCAGTTATGACGTAAATAATTAGCGTAGATTCTAGCAAATGCATGTAATACCCTCTCCCTAAACAACCCCGATTTTGCGTGGAAGCACAGAAAGTTTCAGCAGCCACCTGTCAGCGAAATTGAGGCATGTACATGGCATCACGCGACCCTCTCTTGCCGTTCAGATTCGAAAGTGCAACTGTTGAGTTCGCAGCCAAATGCCACTAATTCGCGAGTTCGCTTGTGACCAATCAAAGGAAAACTCTTGGAGTAAGGCAGTTACACTGTTATTGACGAATTCCGAGCCACTTACACCAAACCTCCCAACAACTCCGTACCTTGTGGCCAACCCCCGCCGACCAGAAAGGCCACTCAAATGGTCGGCGCTCTCGGATTGGTCACGTTGCATTTCCGACAATTTTGGGCCTTCAAATTGTGTCGTACACTTGGCGGCATCGTCGGATCTTAATCCACATTGGCGTTTAGCGCGGATCAAGTCTAGCGTGGCAGAACAAGACACTTTTTCCTCAACTTGTCTTGAGTGTGACTGCAAAGGTGGGATCCATTCAGACACCCCAACTACAGAAGAGTTCTTCTTTCTAGTCCAGCTGCAGCTGCATCCATTCCCCACCGCAGGCCACCGATCCGAACCCAACCAGATCCTTTCGAACGAAACTACACCTCGCATTCAGAACGGCGCTCGGTTCCGTTCGGTTCTGTTCAGTTCTGATAATAACCATTGCCTGCTTCTGATCAGGCATGGTTTTACCTGCACTGGCAGTGTCCAGCTCGCATCCACAGCCCATCTCCTGGCTGGATCATCATCGCCCAAACGTTGGGCTGAAGTGACTTCGACTCGAAGAGAGATCTTCGAATCACAGTTCGATTTGGAGGCTGAGCTGCAACGCCAGCATTCACCGGGTAAAAGGTGGGATCAATCTCAGACCAGTTACTTTATCATAACAGGTTCCTTCGTTTGCCAGACTACTAGACTGCTAGTGGGGAGAAAACAGAAGTAGGGAGAAAGTACACTGTCGCATTGTGTAGATTGTTGCTAGACTGCTGGTGCTTGCCATAGCCTTTGGTAGGGATGAGAGAACTTCTCTGACATCGTATGTGTCACCTCAGTCCGAGTGACTGCCCTGGCCCAGCACCCGGCAATGCCGCGTCACCGAGGAAGGCGTCTCTCTGAGTCAGAGCAACGGTCAGAGCAACATAGAAGACGGTCAGAGCAACATGATAGAGGTGTGGAGTCAGTAGCAGGCAGGAGGCCTAGTACTATTGCTGCTACTACTAGTACTGCTATAGCAATTGGCCACGAACCCAGCAGGAGTACTGGAAGTTCTAACTCTGCTGTGAGTGGGAAAGATGCGGCAAGGACATCAGGTTCTCGCCACACTGCAGGATGCGAGGAGAACCAGCAACGCTCCCAGCAGGAACTCGCTCCACCCATTCGACCACCACCCCATCATGGGTTTGATTCCCAAGGGCCCTGTCCCAGTGACCCTCCAGGGCGTTCAATCCAACGGCCAGCCAGCAGCAGGCAAGCCTTCCAGGCCTTCCAGGCCTGCCAGGCCTCAGTAGTAGACGGCAGGCTGCCGCCGAGTGATGCCACGATGCTGCTGCAGCTGCAGCTCCGCCAACCATCGCCATCAGCTAGTACAACACCCCGGCTGGGGTCAGGTGTAACCGGTATCAGGGACCAACATGAGGATGATGGTGATGGTGATGGTGATGGTGCTGGTGATGGTGATGGTGATGGTGGTGATGGTGATGGTGATGGTGATGGTGATGGTGATGGTGGTGGTGGTGGTGGTGATGGTGATGGTGATGGTGATGGTGATGGTGATGGTGATGGTGATGGTGGTGATGATGATGGTTATGGTGATGATGGTGATGGTGATGGTGGTGATGATGATGGTAATGATGATGGTGCCGGCCGACCAGGTGCCACCGCCGATAGCCAAGTGAATGCCAGTCAGCTGGGTGTTGTTACAGGAGGAACAGCGGTAGTACCTTCTGCAACGGGCCCACCCTCAGACGTCGTCAGGCTCATCAAGGTTCTGCTCCGTTCCCGAGCTGGTACGGGTTCCGAACCACCCTCTCCCGAGGCTGCACACGCTGCAGCAGATGGCAAGCAGGCGGTTGTAGCAGTAGGATCCCTTGTTTCTCCTGCTACAGCCGCCTGGCCCCATGATGTTGCTACAGAAGCGACAGCCACTGCTACAGCAACGTCCCTCCCAAGGGGCCTGGCTGGCATGAGAAGAGCGTACCTACTAGGCAGAGAGGACAACATTGGTACAGCTGCTGCTTCTGCTGATGCTGCTGCTGCTGTTGCTGCTCCTGCTCCTGCTACTGCTGCTGCTACTGCTTCTGCTGCCAATGGTGGTGCTACTGCTACTGCTGCTGCTGCTGCTGCTGCTGCTGCTGCTGCTGCTGCTGCTGCTGCTGCTGCTGCTGCTGCTGCTGCTGCTGCTGCTGCTGCTGCTGCTGCTGCTGCTGCTGCTGCTGCTGCTACAGCTGCTGCTCCTGCTACTACTGCGACTCACAGCAGCACACCAAGCAATGAGCCAAGCACCAACTCCCCCACATGCACGCACGGAGCCGTCCCCAGCCAGCATGCAACCCTTCTCTCCTTGCTTACCGCTCTCCAGGCCAGAGTATCCGCGTTACAAGCACTCGTTCGAATCCTATCGCAGGTAGGCTACTTGGATATTCCCTTGCTAGGTCTTGACCCAATTTCCCGCCCCCCTGCTCCTCCCGATCTTTTCTATGGCATCACAAGATTCAGCACACACATTGCACGATATGATCCACAGGATCCAGCACATTGCTGCTGGCCACCGTTGCCATGGCTCTGGCTTGCAGCAGATAGTAAGCACATCGCTTCAGTCACCGCAGTTGACTCTTTCGCTCTGAGCACCCTGTTTCATAAGTCCCTCTTTCCAATACGCAGTTTAGACATAGTTCCACCCTGTTGCCGTTTTTCACCACCCTGTTTTTGCCACTCTTGTTTCACCACACTGTTCTTGCCACCCTTGTTTCACCACTCTGTTTCTTGCCACCATTGCTTTACCTCCTTCGTTCAGCAACAGCAGGAGCGAATGGAGAAGGAGCAGCATGAACAGGTGGTGGAGGAGGAGGAGGAGGAGGAGGAGGAGGAGGAGGAGGAGGAGGAGGAGGAGGAGGAGGAGGAGGAGGAGGAGGAGGAGAAGAAGGAGGAACAGGCACATCAGCAACAAGAGAAGAAGCAGCGGCAGGGGCAGCAGCAGCAGCATGAAAGGGAATTGGGAAGCACAAAACATTTCCAACAGGTGCGTGAGGGAGACAGAAAGCAACAGAACCAGCAGGAGAAACAGGGAATGGAGCAGGAGCAGGAGCAAAAGGAGGAGGACAACGAGGAGCAGGAGCAGGAGGAGGAAGAGCAGGAGCTGGAGGAGCAGGCTCAGGAGAAGAAGCGGAAGCAGCAGAGAGACGCAGTGGCAGTGGGGATAGTTGGCATGATCAAGCATCTCGCAGTGGCTTCTGCCAGCCTGCTGCCTCCCCACCAGCAGCGCAGTGCACTCCTACCCTTGCTCCCCCTGTTGCCAAACCTGCAGGTTGCGTCAACTCTGCCGAGGCAGGCTTGGCCGAGCCAAGCTTTGCCAAGCCAGGGAGTGACGAATGAAGGGAGTAAGGAAGGTTCGGATCCGATGGCTTGGGGACAGGAAGCAGGTAAGTATGAGGAGCGGATGAGTGAGGGAAATGAGAGAGATAGCCACAGCATGGATGAAGAGAAAGAAGAGGAAGAGGAGGGAGGTGCTGGGGGGGATCATGATGATGATGATGATGATGATGATGATGATGATGATGATGATGATGATGATGATGATGATGATGATGATGATGATGATGATGATGATGATGATGATGATGATGATGATGATGATGATGATGATGATGATGAGGATCATGATGAGGAGGAGGATATGGAGGAGAAAGAGGAAGAGGAAGAGGAAGAGGAGGAGGAAGACGAAGAGGAAGCGGAAGAGGAAGAAAACGAGGAGGACGAGGAGGAGCAGGATAGGCTGCAGGAGAGGGAAGGACTGGAAGTGGGAGGAGGAGGGTGCAAGGAGGTGAATCCATGGTCCGAAGACCCAGATACAGGCCATTCAAGAGCCAAAGAACGACTAAAAACTCCCCAAACAAGGCCGGAGTGTGGCGAGTCTGCTGATGTGGGTAGCTTGGCAAGGGAAACCGGGCAGAAGCGCAAGCAGCGTGATGGGGAGCAGCGCGACGGGGAGCAGCACGATGGGGAGCAGCAGGACGGGGAGGTGACCCCTCGCAAGCGCAAGAAGCCGAAGCAGCTGCTGCTGCAGCTACAGGCAGCTCTGCAAGAGAGCATGGTGCAGGAAGGGGAAGAGGTTCAGGGAGGAGTGGCAGAATCAGCAGCAGAATCAGCAGCAGCAGCAGCAGCAGCAGCAGCAGCAGCACCAGAAGCACCACCACCAGCAGCAGCAGGGGTACCAGCAGCAGTAGCAGCGCCACCAGAAGCAGCACCAGCAACAGTAACAGCAGCACCAGCAGCACCAGCAGCACCACGAGCATCGGTAACAGCACGAACAGCACGAACAGCAGCAGTACCACCACCAGTAGCACTAGCAGCAGCACCACCACCACCAGCAGCCGCGCCACCAGCAGCAGCAGCAACAGCACCAGCCAGAACAGCAGCAGCACTACCACCACGACCACCAACACCATCACCAGCAGCAATAACAGCAGCAGCAGCAGGACCACCAGCAGCAGCAGCAGAAGAAGCAGCAGCAGCAGAAGCAGCAGCAGCAGCAGCAGCAGCAGCAGCAGCAGCAGCAGCAGCAGCAGCACCAGAAGCACCACCACCAGCAGCAGCAGGGGTACCAGCAGCAGTAGCAGCGCCACCAGAAGCAGCACCAGCAACAGTAACAGCAGCACCAGCAGCACCAGCAGCACCACGAGCATCGGTAACAGCACGAACAGCACGAACAGCAGCAGTACCACCACCAGTAGCACTAGCAGCAGCACCACCACCACCAGCAGCCGCGCCACCAGCAGCAGCAGCAACAGCACCAGCCAGAACAGCAGCAGCACTACCACCACGACCACCAACACCATCACCAGCAGCAATAACAGCAGCAGCAGCAGGACCAGCAGCAGCAGCAGCAGCAGAAGCAGCAGCAGCAGCAGAATCATCATCAGCAGCAGCAGCAGCAGCAGGACCAGCAGCAGCAGCAACAGCAGCAGCAGCAGCACAAGAGCCAATGCATGAAAATCTTCGCACCGATTCAAGCCTGGCCGCAATTGACCGGGCTTCAACGGGGGTAGCCCAAGCAGAAGCAAGGCAGGATGCTTCTAGAGGGGATGCGAGGTTGGGAGTAATGCAGGGGGATTCAAGAGGGGCATCTAGGACAGAATCAAATCAGGAGGCTTCAGACGGATCTGGGCGGACATCTAGTTTCACTGGCCGTCCTGACACTCTCTGGGTTTCAAGGTGCCAACTCTTATCCTGCTGAGTTTGTTGCTCTGCCTCTCCCTGCTCTGAATCTCCCTGATCTGCCTCTCCCTGCTCTGCCTCTCCCTGCTCTGCCTCTCGCTGCTCTGCCTCTCCTTGCTCTCCTCCTACCTGTGCCAGTCCCGACCATCTCTGTATTTCAGGGTGTCAATTCTACTCCTGATGTTGTTGTCGCTCTGCTCCTCCATGCTCTGCTCATCCCACCTGTGCGTTGGTATGACCATAACACGTCTCTACCTAAATCCAACCGACCAACTCCACTCTCCCTCGCTCAGTCATTTTCTTCCTCTCTACCTCTTTACATCCCTAGTACCTCCCTGCCTCACTCCCTATTCCGCCCCCATCTCCTCAGCTCCGCCCCCACAGCCTTCACCTGCGTAGAGCCGGGCTGCCAGCACAACAAACAGCACCCTCGCTTCCTTTCTTGTCTCACCCTCTTCCCCTTCTCTTCCCTCTTCCTCTCCCCTTTATCCCCCACCCCTTCAGCTCCTCCCCCACGACATTCACGTGCCCTGACCCAGGCTGCCAGCACAACGAGCAGCACCCGCGCTTCCGTCCACTCAAGTCCCTAGCCTCGCTGCACACCCACCACCTCCGCGTGCATGGTGACAAGCCTTTCACATGCTCCCGCTGCCAGGTAAAACTCCTCTTTCGTTTTACTCCACTGTCCTGTCCTTTCCTCTCCTCCCCTTTCCCCTGTTCTCTCAGGTCCCTAGCCTCGCTGCATACCCACCACGTCCTGTGGTTCCTATAGCCTTCTTTTTCTGTGAAACCTTGATGACAAACTATTCTTCGAATAAGGGCTACTTCACTGCTTCGCACCTAAGGTGCCTTTTCAGTGCAGACGCAGAAAACAGTGCAGTGTAAAGCGGTGGCTTCCTTCTGCAGCACACTCACTCCCCTTTACTCTCTACCTTCCCCTCAGGTCAAGTCCTTCGGCATCCAATCCGACCTGCGATCCCACGAGAAGCAGTGCGGTGTAAAGCGGTGGCACTGCTCCTGCGGGAACTCCTTCAGCAGAAAGGACAAACTAGCCAACCACCTCAACACATTCACAGACCACTCGCCTCTCTTCAACCTCCAGCCAGTGGACGTCCCGATTCAGCCCAAGCAGAAGCCGCAGTTAAAAAAACAGCCTCAGGTTCAGGCGAGGCAGCTAGAAACACAGACGAAGCAACTTCAGGCGCAGACAGAAGAGCTTGAGGCACACACGAAACAGATGGAGGCGCAGACCAAGCAGCTAGAGGCCCCTCTGAACGCCAGCCACGTGAACGAGGCAGTCACGTACCAGTCCCCTGCTGGTTACTTGGGAATTCTTGAGTCGACTCAAGGGCAGTCTCCTGTCAGTCACCTGGCGCACTCTGCTAGCCATGCTTCTGAGGGTAATCATCCTTGGGGGCAAAACGCTGCGGAGATAAATGCATCGGGGAGAAATGCAATGGAGGGAAATGGCTCAGAAGGGAAGGAGGCCAGGAGTGGGTACGTGTCGCTGCTTCTGCAGGGGGGCGTTGGGTTGGTTCAAGAGAGCCGCTTGCAAGCAGAGAGTTCCGAAGCAGGCCAACAGTTTCAGCAGTTTCAGCAGCATCATCAGACCCAACTGTATCAGCAGGCACAACTGGTCAACGAGACACACACTTCCCCTGCTCTCGCCACCCTGCCAATAGACTCGCCTCTGCCACCCCTGCAAGCACCCACGCCTCTGCCACTCCTGGACGCACCCATGCTCGTGGAACAAGGTGCTCTACCCTTGCAGCAGCAGCACCCTTCCCTATCCTTGCAGCAGCAGCACCCCTACCTACCCTTGCAGCAGCAGCACCCCTCCCTGCCCTTGCAGCAGCAGCAACCCCCCCAATCCTTGCAGCAGCAGCACCCCTCCCTGCCCTTGCAGCAGCAACAGCACCCCTCCCTACCCTTGCAGCAGCAGCAACACCCCTCCCTCCCCCCACAGCCAGCAAACGTGCCTTGGTCTCTGCCAGCCCAGTTCTCCACACAGCCTGTAAAGTCAACAGAGTCAACAGGGGCAGTGCGAGAGACAACAGCTTCAGAACAGCCTGCTCAACCGCCTCACCCCCATCCACTCACCCAATGCCCACCACTCAACCCACCGCTCGCCCCTCCAATCGCCCCACCGCTCGCTCCTCCGCATACCCTTCTACGTGCCTCACCAGTTGCCCCTCCAGTCCCTTCAGTGCTCCCTCCTATTCTCCATCCACTTGCCCCTTCGGTTTTTCCTCCTATCAAGCCTTCCCAACCCCAGGCACAGGCTCGGCCCGGGGCTGATCCACAGCAGTGGCAGCAGCAACCGCAGCAGCAGAAAGCACAACGGTACCACCAGCAACCTCCGCAGCAGCAGCAACAGCAGCAGCACCAGCAGCACCAGCAGCAGCAGCAGCAGCAACAGCAGCAGCAGCAGCAGCAGCAGCAGCAGCAGCAGCAGCAGCAGCAGCAGCAGCAGCAGCAGCAGGAGGTAGAGCGGCAAGTGTGGCTGCAGGGGCAGAGGCAGACGGGGCGGCAGGGTGTGGCAGCTTACCAGGGGCAAGGGCAGGAGCAGCAGGGCCAACAGCAGCAACAGGTGCAACAGCAGCTGCGATTAACGCAGCAGCAGCATCAACAGCAACAGCACGTGCAGCAGCAGCAACAGGTTCAACAGCAGTTGCGATTAACGCAGCAGCAGCATCAACAGCAACAGCACGTGCAGCAGCAGCAACAGGTTCAACAGCAGCTGCGATTAACGCAGCAGCAGCATCAACAGCAACAGCACGTGCAGCAGCAGCAACAGGTTCAACAGCAGCTGCGATTAACGCAGCAGCAGCATCAACAGCAACAGCACGTGCAGCAGCAGCAACAGGTTCAACAGCAGCTGCGATAAACGCAGCAGCAGCATCAACAGCAACAGCACGTGCAGCAGCAGCAGCAACAGGTTCAACAGCAGCTGCGATTAACGCAGCAGCAGCATCAACAGCAACAGCACGTGCAGCAGCAGCAACAGGTTCAACAGCAGCTGCAAAAACAGGTGCAGCAGCAGAAACAGGTGCATTTCCAGCAGCAGCCATCCAGCCAGGTAAACCCACCACCCTTCCACCAGCAGCAATCCACCTGTGCTAACCAGGCATCTCCCTGGGCTAACCAAGAATCCTCCTGGGCCAACAACCCTGTGCCAGCCTCCTTTGCAGCACCCACTACTGACCCTCCATCTCAGCACCCTAGACTACCCCAAGTGATTTCTCTCGAGTCAACACCAGCAACCACTGAACCTCTCAAGGTAACCCAAGAGTCAACCCTCGAGTCAACCCTCGAGTCAACTGCCTTTCCACCACCCCACCATAGCTGGAACACCAGAGTGGCCCTAGAGTCAACTCAAGGGTCAACTGAGCTTCCACCCCAGCTTCAAAGCCCGAGCCATCAAGTGGCCTTTGAGTCAAACATAGAGTCAACCGACCCTCCACCTCCCCACCACATCCTGCCAAGCCCACATGACAGCCGGCCAACCCCTCGCCACAACCACCCTACCCCTCATCACAGCCTCGTAACCCCACATGATAGCCTGCCAACCCCACAATACAACCACCCAAACCCTCATCACAACCTCCCAACCCCTCACCACAACCTCCCAACCCCTCACTACAGTCTTGTAACCCCTCATGTCAGCCTGCCAACCCCCCACCACAGCCTCCCAACCCCCCATCACAACCTCCCAAACCCCCACCACAACCTCCCAACCCCCCACCACAACCTGCTAACCCCCCATCACAGCCTGCCAACCCCCCATCACAACCTCCCAACCCCTCATAACAGCCTCCCAACCCCTCATAACAGCCTCCCAACCCCTCATCCCGGCCTGCCAACACCCCACCACAGCCTGATTCGCGGGGTCCCTGAGCATGCCACAGGGGCGGTGGGGGGAATCTCACTTGAACAGCTCTTCCCTGAGCTGCAAGACGACTTCTGAGTTGCTGCCGCAGTTACGGTAGGAGACGATATCTGAGACGTCTCAAAACTCGATGCCACAGGGGCGGTGGGGGGAGTCTCTCTTGAAGAGCTCTTCCCTGAGCTGCAAGCGGTCTCTCTTCTGAGTTGCTCCAGCGTCAGGCGAGCAGGCTTCGCCGCATTGCCACAGAATAAGGGGGATTGACAAGTGGACCTCGGGGCTTGAGGAGTCGTCTTGAAGATCCAGAATAGGATCTAGGGTAGGGACCAGGCAGAGTGATGCTTGCTAGCTTTAGGCCTGGGTGTGGTCATGGCTTTTCACGCCATCCGCCCCTGATTTGGTTGAATATATTGCTAGCAAGTAGTCCAGGCCTCAGATGTAATGCGTCTGTTATCTGCTTATTCTTTATCTTGCAAATAGGCAATGTCTCCTAGGTATGTAAATTGTTTCGTTTCTTAATTCAATTAAATGATTCTGCGGTATGCTGACGAGTGAACCATCTGTCCTCAAGCAGTCTCGGGAAGATGAGACCTCAAACCAAATCTGCAGGAGTAGTGGTCCACAGCCCAAGGCGAGCAACCCTAGCAGCACCATCCAGCCATCTAAGCAGCAGCAGCAGCAGCAGGTGCCGGTTCTGGCAGCAGCTGCAGCAGCACGTTCTGCAGCATCTGAGCCCACACGTCCTGCGGGCCGGGAATGCAGTAATGCAAGCAGTCCTCGTGATTCAACTCCGGAATGAACCCCTGATGCGAGTCCGGTCGAAGCACCGTCATTGCCGCTACATCCAAATACACGCCGCCCACCTCCTCCACCGCCGCCCGTGCCAGCTCGTTCTGCTCATGAAACTTCCCCCAGAAGAACGGCAGGTTGTCGGTGGGACCCGGCACGAGCAGAGGCTTGTCATGTTCCGAGCAGTTGGCATGGCCGTGCACGGTGGTACGATAGATCAAGAGCGCGTCCGGGAGCTTGTTCCGGAGAAATCTTAAAGTTGAACGGACGGCCGAGATGAAGTGCCGGTCCGGGCGGTAGTGCGCGCCGCGATTCAGAATAAACACGCGGGCGCCAGCGAGTATAGAGAGGCGGGCGAAGGGGACGCGGTCGAACTTGATCTGGGAGTTGGAAAGCTGGAGATAGTCGTGGCGAATGAACCGGATGGTGAGATTAGCACACACGTTGCTGTGAAGCTTGTAGTCTCGGCAGAACGAGTGCCTGGCATGGTCAGGTTCGATGAGTTCGCTGCATTCCTTGGGAATGGTTTCCTCCGCCGCCCACGTGGCGGGTTTCTTTACATGCGTCAGCATGTTGTTCACCAGCACGCGCACAAACTGCTCCTGTAACGAGTCGCCTATAAGGAGTACAAGAGCGCCGCTCCCGTCGCCCTTCTCCCTCACAGCCTCCCCTTTGAATGCCGCCTCTTCCCTCTCCTCCTCCTCCTCTTCTGTCAACGGCATTCCTGTTCCATTCCACCTTCTCCCTCTCATCCAGTCACACACCACTCGGCCATCAAAAGCCTCCCATGCCCCACACTTACCCTCCGTGTCCCACACGTATTTCAGCTGGGGCCGTACGTCCCACTCCTCCTGCCGCACCTTCCTCTCTTCCGGAGGAAGCTTCATAATGGAATCTGCGATTTGATCTGCTTTGGAGACCACGACAGCGGTAGGAGATGCTGCCATGTGCCTTTTGTCGCAGTAATTCGAGTAACCCTTGAATTCCCAGGGTAATCGCCTCGGCCTCGGGTCGAATTTCCAGCTGCCCTCTGCTGCCACACACTCCTGCCATTTCAGAAACTTTTCTTTCAAACCTGCCCGGCTGACCTTGCTTCCTGGAATCTTTGTCCGGAACCCTTCCCCAGACCTGTCAAGGAGGTTCGGGTCAAAACTCTCCGAAGCAAACCCATCGTGGAGAACACTTTCCAGGACCGTTCTCAACCGCTCAACACCGCAAGCAAGGGACCCTTGACGCAAGTACACTGACCACCCACCACCTTTCTCCCAATCCTCCTCCGTATCCTCCCAAAATGCAACCCCTGAAGCACCACCAGCACCAGCGCCAGCATCACCATCACCACCACCGCCACCACTCCCAACCTCTCCCCACCGGTCTCCACCGCTCCCTGCCCCTGAATCTACTGCCTCCTCCACCGGTTCCTCTGGGCACTCCACCAGGTAGTGCCTCACACCGGCTGCCAATGCTAAGTTTCTGTACAGCTACCTTCCCCCGTCCGGATACACTGAATCTGCACCGCCGCTGCTGCTGCTGGTGCTGGTGCGAATTTCGATGACAGAGGAATGGGAAGGCATGAAGAGGGTGTTCACGAGGGCGTTACCACATGCAACAAATAGCAGCGCTCGTTGGAACAGCTCCCTGGCTGGGTGGGGGCAGGGGAAGGGCAGGGCGGGAGGGAAGGCATTTGAGGTGCTTCAAACAGGCATGAAGAGTGTGTTCACGAGGGGAGGGGAGGGGAGGGGTGGAGAGGGAAGAGAGCATGAAGAGGGGTGTTCACGAGGGGAGGGGAGGGGAGGGGTGGAGAGGGAAGAGGGCATGAAGAGGGGTGTTCACGAGGGGAGGGGAGGGGAGGGGTGGAGAGGGAAGAGAGCATGAAGAGGGGTGTTCACGAGGGGAGGGGAGGGGAGGGGTGGAGAGGGAAGAGGGCATGAAGAGTGTGTTCACGAGGGCATTATCGCATGCAATGAACAGCAGAGCTCGTTGAAACAGCGTCCTGGCTGGGTGGCAGCGGGGGAGGGACAGGGTGGGGAGGGAAGGCATGAAGAGGGGTGTTCACGAGGGCGTTCAAACCGTCTAGTAAGCACCGCAGCTTGGCCGGGCGCTGTGACATGCAACAAAAATCGGCCGTCCAGGTGAGGAGATTATTGCCATTTCAGTTTAGGCGCAGCGATGACAGCACCCCACTCACTCACCTTCAAGGAGCGGCATGCTACGTCTGTACACGGCGACTCTATCCTCGGTATAGAGCTGCTTCAGTATCCACTTCACCGCACGCAGCGCTGCAGCCAGCTCAGCGGCTTGCACTGTGGGCAGACGGGATGGGGGAGCCGCCACCACCACCACCCAATCATGCTTCAAACGCCCATCCATAGACCCCATAGGCCCCATAGGCCCCATAGGCATCCCCACTGCTCCCTCTGCCTCTCCTTGCTCTCCTTGCTCAGGGGAGAGGTAGGCGGCCGTTGGAGAGAAGAGGGGCAGACCGGAAGCGGGGAAGAGGTGGCGCGCGCGGAACGCATGCAGGAGAGATGGACTGGGGTGGCCGCATGGGGGGAACAGTGGCTGGGGGAGGGAGAGAGGGGGAGGGGAGGGGAAGGAGGGAGAGGGGAAGCGGTGGGAGCCATCTTGAGAGAAGAGCGGCAGGCCGGAGGGGCGGAAGTGGAAGGAGTGCAGGAGAGACGGGCTGGGGTGGCCGCATGGGGGAATTAGTGGATGGGGGGGAAGGGGGAGGGAGAGGGGAAGGGGGAAAGGGAGATGGGGAACGGGAAAGGTGTCTTGTGGGCCGACTTAGATACCCTGGATTACCCTCCACCCTCCACCCTCTACCCATGGGCTGGTGCTCATGGGCTGGTGCTCACGGGCTGGTGCTCACGGGCTGGTGCTCACGGGCTGGTGCTCATGGGCTGGTGCTCATGGGCTGGTGCTCACAGGCTGGTGCTCACAGGCTGGTGGAGGATACAACCCCTGGATACAACCCCTGGATTCAACCCCTGGATTCAACCCCTGGATCAGCGAGGAGTGTGCCAACCTCATCAAAGCCTGCTGTTTGTGTATGTATGTTCGCACGGGTGTGCGTACGTGTGTGTGCACGGGTGTGCGCATGTGTGTGCGTACGCGTGTGCGTGTGCGTATGTGTGCGTGTGCAGTGCGTGGGGACACTTACCATGTAGAGCGTGCGAGCAAAGAGCAGTGATGAGTGCGCCATGGCATGGATGGCACTCGCTGTGGGCCTCAACCCCACCACGGCCTGCCAGATGCCCCGCACCAACTGCCATGGAGGGAGAGGGAGGAAACGGGTGGGAGAGAATAAGCAGGGATGCATGAAAGGGAGTGGAGTGAACGACCCAGTCCCACCACGGCCTGCCAGCCAGATGCCTGGCAGCAGCTGATATGGAGGGAACACAGAAACAGGAATACAGATTTTTAGGCATGGGGAGTGGAAGACGAGAGAAGAATACGTGAGAGTGTGAGCCAGGGTCCACTATTGATCCTACCTTACAGTTCTGCACGGCAATCGGTGTGTACCTGAGCAGCGTCTCACTCTCACATCTCACCTTCCTGTTCTGCACTGCAACAGGTATGCGCCTCAGGAGCGACATGGCAGGGGCCAGCGACAGGAAGAGAGGAAGCTTTTCCGCCATTTCCGAGAAGACCACATCGGACGGCGAGAGGGCGGTGGAGAGAAGGTTGAGGAGGGCGGGGAAGGTGGCAAAACGGGTGCCTAAGGGGTAGTCGAACTGAGGGAGAAGGGGGACAAGAAGGGGGTTTGGAGAGGGGGAATAGTAAGGAAGGTGCTAGCGATGCCAGGAGAATGGGGCCAAGTGAACCGAGTGAGCTGAGCAGGATGACAAAGGATGTGAGGTGGGGTATGGGGGATCCTGGAAATGGATGATGCGTGCGAGGTAAAAGAGAGAGAGAAAAACAAAAATCAAACAAACAAAAAAAGGGCGCGTCCCTCACATCGGCCAATCGGTCGCCGCATCTCCCAGTGTCAAACAGATGCGTCTGGTTAAACACCTGACCCCTCCAATTCACAAACACGTTCCGCAGCCGGAAAACCTGCCCGGACCATTCCTTTTGGCTGCCCGGATCCGGAATTTCCACGTGTAATGACTCCGGCCACTCCCCCTGCTCCTCCCAAAATCTTTTCATTTTCAAGACCGAGTCTGCACACTGCGCTGGGACGACCCTGGTCATCTCAAGCTCATCTGGGATCTCCGGGCAGAATGCAGGGAACTTTTTTTGCTGCCCGTTTGGCGTCTGATCCAATAGGTCCACGAATTCTCTGTTCCAGCATGCCTCAATCTGCCCCAGGGCACCTGAGCAGGGTGAAAAATCCGAGCAGCTCCCTCCTTTACACCCCCCTCCTCTCCCCCGCCCATCCCCTCCTCCTGCATAGAACCCCAAGGAGACAACCGAGAGATCTGCACCGTTGATTCGCGCTGACGTGGATTCATCAGCTGTCACGGGCTTCTGTGGGCCATCGGATTCCCCAGATGCGCCTTCCCAGAGTACCACCTCCGATCCTGACGCTCCCAGAGTGCGACCAGCTCGACCAATCAGCTTCCTCCTGCTGACGCTGCTACCATCGCCTGTCCAATAGCTGTTGCTGCTGCTGGGCCCGACTGTGCTGCCAGCTTCGGCACTGGCGGACAGAGAAGGAGCAGCGGGAACGCTGGAAAGCGCAACAAGGAACCTCGAATGAAGGAGAACTGATATCACGTGGAGGAGGAGGAGGACGGGGAGGATGGATCGGTACGGAGAGAGCGGCGTCTTGCCGATTCGGAGGGTCATTTCAGAGGCTAGTAGGGCTAGGGACGCATCATCAGAAGCTGTTCGTTAAGGCTCGAATTTTGAGTCGACTCTAAAATCGAGCTGCGTCTTGTCGATTCGGAGGGTCATTTCAGAGGCTAGTAGGGCTAGGGACGCATCATCAGAAGCTGTTCGTTAAGGCTCGAATTTTGAGTCGACTCTAAAATCGAGCTGCGTCTTGTCGATTCGGAGGGTCATTTCAGAGGCTAGGGCTAGGGACGCACCAGGAAATGTTCGTAGAGGCTCGAGGTGACTTTAAGTCGACTCAAAATTCACCTCATGTCGCCCCTTCAGAGGGTCATTTCAGAGGCTAGGGACGCATCATCAGAAGCTGTTCGTTAAGGCGAGGCGCATTGCGGTGAGCTTCTGGGCTTGATACTACGCGAGGGGAAGTAGGAAAGTATCTGCTTTGCGCGATTGTCGATTTGAAGAACTGAGCGATGACCTAACTTTGACGTGACAGAAAGGACTCCAATCACCCGAGAAGGGACGAGCGACGTCGAATGTGCGAATTTTTTTAATCGCGTGGTAATTCGAAGGTTATTTTGAGTCAACTTTCTCAATGCATTGCGAAACGGAATATAATTTCTATCAGAAACGTGCACCATTGTACATAAACGAATGGTAAGTCATGAAGACGCGAATGGAAAACCGCGTTGAGTTTTGAGCGAGCGGAGCGACTGACGGCAGCAGCACACCACAAACCCGCTGACAAATGCTGTCAGCGGCTGACCCACTGCCAGCATTCGGCAGAACCAAGGGAAGAATTCAGGCAGAAACGTGAGAAGAGAACAACCGAATAATGTCGGAGGAAGAGAGAATAGCGAGAATTGGACTGTCCGAATTGCCATTCAGAACTTTGCCCCGTCCGAGTGCAAGACTGTCACCTTTTTCAGTGTTTTGAAATTTCCGAACTGCTGTAGCCTCGCTAGAGACACTGTAGCGTCGTTACACAATCTGAATTCATATTTTCGACAGCTTTTCTACAAATTTCGTGAGCCAATCTGATTTCACATTTTCAGAAAAAGTTGCGCGCCAATCTCTAGTTAGTACTGTTGCACCGTCCATCTGGTTTCCGAACTGTCAAGGGTTCAGATTCTGAACAATTGAAAGGAGTAAAAAGTGACGCGACGGTTCGGATTGCTGGCAACGTTTCTGCAGGTCGGACACACTTTCACGACACATTGCGACGCTGGTAACGTTTTTGCAGTTCGGACCGTCCACAGCTCGAACCGTCGGGGGAAAAATGGAGACACGCCCTAAAACTGTTTTGACTGAATGATCAATGCTTCTGATCCCTCATCCGTGTCCCTCGGGCTTTTGAATGTGCCGGCCTTCCTGACAACCAGTCTCATAGCGAGGATGCGCGGTTATCCGTCACAGTCGCTCGCGTTAATCCATCACAGCAATTAGTAGCGTTTATATTTGTTTATAAAATGTCATTGCAAGTTGCAAGTTGCGACATATCCAACATCTAATTCATGCAATCAGGCGCATCGCAACCCTACATTACTAGCACCAAATCGTGAAATTCGTCCAAATCGACTACTATCTGCATAATCGCGCCAAAAGGATACGCCTCGGCCCTACGCTTCACCCACATCCCAATCCATGGCGTTATGCCAATAATAATCATACTTTGAACGATATATATCTGTTCAATCTTGATGATACTCTCATTAGTGAGTGGAATAATAATGTGCTCTAACCAAAGTAGGGGTTATAAGCTCTTAGTGTAACCGCACCCAAGCAAGTTTACTCAATGGCTGATCTCGGGGATATTCGAGAACCTGTGGGTGCTTTGAGTGGGCGAAGGTATACCACCAGGAACAGGTATCACCAAACTTTCCTCCCTGCATGCTCCCACCCCACGCCCTGGACGAACACGCCCGCAAGTCAGCAAACCAATCACCAGTCTCTGAGACTTTCGGATATTCGCCAGCCCCGCCCCATGCTTCCGAAAACTTTTGTGCATTTCGCCGTTTCGCCAGCTCAAGCACCGTTTTGGCAAATGCGGCTTACGCGTTGTGCTGACTCCACCCACAGAACCTGGAACTGATCAACAGGATATTCAGCCACCTCGGGTTCTAATAACGAGACAAGCCTCGCCTTCTTATTCCTACGCCCAACCGAGTTTCCCCTCGATATAAGCTGCCCAGTGCTGAAACTTCTGCGCTAAACTCCCATCTCCCGCCAAAGTGTGTTCCCCCCATCTTCCCCCTTCTTCCCCCAACCTGCGTGTCCGTCCATTTTGCGAGCTCGAGATTTGCTTGCTCCTTCAAATACCCCAGCCTGTTCATTGATCGTACTTTCAGATCCCTTTTCCGATATAAGAAGATCTGCCTAGTTCCTTTGTCAATCACCATTCCTTTTCTTCACATATTTGAACAGGATCGTACTTTCAGATCCCTTTCTTCACATATTTCCAGAAAAACTTTCCTCGCCGTCCCGCGGATTTTCCGATCTTCTTTCAGATTCCGCTTCCCATCGAATCTCGCTTCCCCCCACCTCAGGTTCCGCCGGACGCCGAATGGCCCCGCTGAAGGCGCACCTAGCGCCGGCGGTGCCGGCAGAGGCGGCATCGGTCGGGGAAGCGGGCAGGGAATGTCAGGCGCAGCGGGAATAGGCGGAGGTGCCGGAGGGTATCGTGGAGCAACAGGTAGGCATAGAGGGAGATAGAGATAGAGAAAGAAAGTGGGAGATAAGATTTAGTAGTTGCGTGTACAACAAACGGTGGATGCATGCTGGAGCTGGTTTGTGACAACAGAAGGAAACACACAGTGAAATAGAAGCATATACATACGGTCGTGTCATAAAGCAAAAAAAAACGAAAAAAGAGGGTCAATATATACGGCTAGTTTGACTGGTGTTCAGTATATTATTGTTACTGCGCTTCAATAAGTATATTATTGTTACTGCGCTTCACCTTGGAGATTCAGCCTTGGTATGCCAAGTTGCCACGACTTCTCATTGGATGTGATCCATTAGCTAGCGTGGGGAGGATTTTTCATTTGAAAGCGGAATTTGCATGTTTTAGCCTTCGTTTTCGTGTTCGTGTTTTGAACCGATACCCACTCAACGGACATCTTTGTTCGATTGCTTCCCTTCGCTGGTGCAGGTCCCCAGTCCCAACAAAGGTATGGATCAGCGCCAGTCGCGGGAAACGGCCCCACACCCGCAGCCGCGCCTGCGCCTTCCGCGTGGGGCGCGGGGCCTGCGCGCACAGGTGCGCCTGCCCCCGCCGCCACTTCCGCCACACAGCAGCCGCGGCAGCAGCAGCAGCCGGCGGTGCAGTTGTCATCTGGCCCGGGGATTCCAGGGTTTGAGTCTGCGCCTCCCCCTGCGGATTCCGCCTTCCCCGGTCTCTCCCGTTCCACGTCCGCGGGCGGAGCAGCAGTTCGGCCTGGGGCTCCGGGCGTATCTGTGCCGGGCGCAGGCGCGCCTGCGCCAGTCGCAGGGTCCGGGGGAGCGCCCGGCGCAGGATCTGCGGGCGTGCCTGCGCCGAGAATATCGTTCGCCGCTGCAGCAGCGGCTGGGGGGATGTCGTACGCGCAAAGAGCGGCGCAGGCGCTGAATCGCGCGGCTGCACCTCCCGCCCAGGCGCAACAGGCGCAGACACAGGCGCAGCAAGCGCGGGTGGGTGGAAGCGGGGCGCAGCAAGCGGCAGGTCAAGCGGGGGAAGCCGCCTCACAGGGGAAGGCGGACGCTGCTAAGCCGCCGCAGGGCACGGAAACAGCAGCACAGGCGGGTAGTGCATCTCAAGCAGCTGTGCAGAAGCAGCCGGATCAAACACGCACCCAACAACAACAGCAGCAGCCGTGGCAGGGTCAAAAGCCTCAAGTACCAGCAGCAGCAGCGGTTGCAGCAGGCACGAGCAGTAGACCTGCAGTTCCCGCACCAACCGTAGCAGCGGTCACAATCCCTACAGCCACAGCGACCGCTACCAAGCCTGTTGCGCCGTCTGCCACAACAGCTACTGTTACTGCCACTGCTGCAACGGTTGCGGCGGCTTCCGCAGCAGCAGCAGCTGTTTCTGCTGCGTCAGACGCTTCTGACCCAGCCCAGTCGTTCGCAGCGGCAGCTGCTGCTGGGGCCGCGGCTGCATCTTCCAAAGCGCCTGCCGCAGCGGCTACCAAACCAGGCCAAGCGCCTGTTCCCCAGACCTCCAGCGCAGGCTCGGCAGCAGCTCCGGCGGGATCCCTCACAGGGTTCTTGTCAGCCGCGCGCGCAGGGCTAGGGGAGGCCGCAGGCGCAGGCACAGGCCCAGGCGCAGCTGGTGGCGCGGGAATGGAAGGGGGTCAGGGGGCAGCGGGCGGGGCAAAGGGTAGCGCCAAGGCTGGGGCGAAACCACCAGTGAAGGCTCCTGGTCCTGCTGCGGCTGTGGCGGGGCCTCCTGCTCTCCCCCCTGGCGTATCGCCTGTAGCTCTGCAGTTCGGCACGTTCAACCCTAACTTCATGGGCGCCAGCGGCCCTGTCATTGTATGCCCCTCCCTCTCCCCTTCTCCGTTGTTCTCCCCTTCCCCATCCGCCTCTTTCCCGCGGTCTCTATTTTAGCGCCTTTATGTCTCTGTTCCTTGACATCGTGGGCTCTCTGTCCCCCATATCGCCCATCAGCCACTTACAGTCTTCCACTACTTCCCTCTGCCTTTCCTCTCTTGACTCTTCTTTCGTCCTCCATCTCTCGCCATTTGAGCTGTTCTCCGGCTTGTGTTGCTACTGCTATAACAGCTGAGGCGCTTTTATTTTCACATTATTCCTCATGCTTGCTCCGTGTATTCACCAGCTGTACTCTCCTGTTTTATTGCCTGCTTGTGCGGCTACTGCTGCAGGTCCCCCCGCGCACCACCTCTGCTCCGCCCAATCTGGACGAGCAACAGAAGGAGCAGGTACACCACTGGCCCCACTATGCATGGCTCTCCGCCTTTGCTCTCGGCTTGACCTTCCCTTCGCCGCTGCGTTTCTGTCGTCGCTCTAGCTTTTTTCTTATGTCTTTTCTCGTATGGAGTCCCTCGCTCTCCCACAACCCCCCGGTGGTTACCCGCTGCCCGCGGTCTTTTCCCCCCCACTGATTTCCTTTTCTTTCGTTTCTTTTGTTTTCTGTGGAAATACTTTCCCAATGTACTCGTTCTTCCTGCCCCTCTGACCCAATTGGCTTTTTCTCCTCCCTACCTTACTGCCTGCCTGCCCTTGTCGTTCTCTCCCCCGTCAGGCCCGGCACGAGGCCATGCTTCGCCAGCAGCAAGCAGCCAAGTCCGGAGAAGCAGGGGCAGCAGCAGCAGGGCCCAAAGCCCCCATCGGCGGAAGCATCCCAGAAGAATCCCAACAGGTGTTGCCGGCTCCCGCTGCTGCCGCCCCCACTAGTGGCAGTGGCATTACTGCTCCAGTTGCTGCAGGGGCGGCAGGAGCGTCAGGGATAGTAGCAGGGGCGCCAGCAGGGACAGCAGCCGCAGCAGCAGGAACAGCAGTGGGGCAGAATGGTGGGGGGGTAGCAGGGGGAGGAGGGGGGGCGGGGAGGGGGATGGGAAGATGGGGGCAGCAGGCGCATGGAGGAGGGAGAGGAGGCGCGGGGATTTTGTCGTCCGCTGGGGTCAGCGCATGGGGCGCAGGCGCTGCAGGGGCAGGCGCGCCTGGCGCAGGTGGTGCGGGTGCAGCTTCGGTAGGTGCATCTGGTGCAGGTGCAGGTGTGGCATCGGGAAGTGAGGTTGGAGTAGCAGCGGCACGGCAGAACCAACAGCAACAGCAGCAGCAGCAGCAGCAGCAGCAGCAGCAGCAGCAGCAGCAGCAGCAGCAGCAGCAGCAGCAGCAGCAGCAGCAGCAGCAGCAGCAGCAGCAGAGACAACAGCAACAGCAACAGCAACAGCAAAGACAGCAGCATCAACAGCAGCAGCAGCAGCAGCACCTGCAGCAGCAGAGACTTCATCAACACCAGCTTCAGCAGCAACAGCAGCAGCAGCAGCAGCAGCAGCAGCAGCAGCAGCCTCGCGGTCAGGGCTTTCAACAACCTCCCTTTCAGCACCAACACATTCCGCTACACCAGCAGCACCCGCACGCACCAGGGCAAGTCCCCATCCCTATGCAACAGCAACAACAACAGCAACAGCAACAGCAACAACAACAGCAACAGCAGCAGCAGCAGCAGCAGCAGCAGCAGCAGCAGCAGCATAGACCCCAACACCCTGGGCAGCCATCTCAGCAACCCCCACAGCCCTCCCCTCCTCCGCCTCTCGTTCAACCGCCCTTGCAGCCACTTCCCGCCCCTCACATACGCCCTCCCCTGATGATGCCTGGCGGCCAACCTCAGCTACAACCGGGCCAGCTACAACCGGGTCAGCTGCAGCCTCAGCTGCAGGGTCCGCTACAGCAGGGCCCGCTACAGCCAGGCTCGCTACAGGCTCAGATACAGAACCAGCTACAGCAGCTGCCGCCCCACTTGCATGCTGCCATGGCGCTACAGCAACACGGCCACGGCCTTCCGCCGCACATGCAGCATCCCGGGTTACACCAGCCGGGATTGTCGCCTCAACCGGGGATGGGGATGGGTCAGCAGCAGCAGCAGCAACAGGCGCAGCAACAGCAACAGCAGCACCAACAACAGATGCAGCTGCAGCAGCAGCTGCAGTCTCAACAGCAGCAGCAGCAGCAGCAGCAGCAACAGCAACAGCAGCAACAACAACAGCAGCAGCAGCAACAACAACAGCAGCAGCAGTTGCAGCAGCAACAAGGTCAGGGGCCCCACCCTTCCCCTCCCCCTCCCCAGCAACAACTTCAACAGCAGCAACAGCAGCAGCCACCGCATATGCTGCAGCACCAGGCGCAGCAACACATTATGGTGGCTTACCAACAGCACGGCCCGTCAGGCATGACTATTCAGTACGGCACGGTCCCAGCAGGATCCCAATATCCAGGCATGCAAAACCAGAAGCCCTCTGCGCTGCTACAGCCTAGGGCAAGCCGGGCACTTAAAATTATGGATCCGACCACTCAGAAAGAGGTGAAGGTGGAAAAAGTGCCCGCGACTAAGTCCAAGCCCGGGGCAGGAGCAGCAGCAGCAGGAGCAGCGGGAACAGGAACGGGAGCAGCAGGAGCAACAGGAGGAGGGGCGAGGGCAGGGACGGGCGCAGGGGCAGGGGCAGCAGGAGGGGCAGGGGAGGGCGCAGGTGCAGGGGCAGGGGGAGCAGCAGTGGGGGCAGCTGGGGGACCGGCAGGGGGGGCAGCAGGGAGAGGCAGCACAAGCGCTACAACCTCTCCTGCTCCTCACGGGCTTACCTCAACCCCTGCAGGCCTGACCTTCGAAATCCCAGCCCAGCCACCCACCCCAGGTTCCGCCCCCACCACTCCTCACGGCGGCCTAGTCTCCCCCGCTGCTGGGGCGGCAGCAGCAGGGGTGGCCGGCCGGGGGATGCCTATTGGAGTGGCGGCAGCAGCAGCAGGCGCGCGCCCCCCCATGGGGTTCCCGCAGCCCGGGCACATGCTTCCATCCATGTACTATCCGGGCATGCCTGGTGTGGGGGGAGTGCCGGGGGTGCCTGGGGTGCCCGGGGTGGCAGGTGTTCCCCCCGGTGCCTTCCCCCAGGCGCGTTTCTTCCCCCCACAGCAGCCCGGGCCTATGCCAGCAGGCGGGGGGATGGTCGGGGGGCCGGGAGGGGGGATGGGCGGACCAGGGGCAGGCGGGCAGGGTAGGTTTACCCCCCCGTATCCGCAGCAGGCGGGGCATGGCGGGGGGGTGAGGCCGCATATGGGACACGTTTTGCCACACCAGCAGATGCCAGGGGGCGGGCCGGCTGGTATGGTGCACTATGCTACTGGTGCCATTCCTGGCGCCGTACCTGGTGGTCCAGGTTCGGGAGCGGGAGGTGCGGGCGCTGGCGGGGCTGGTTCGGGGGCAGGAGAGGAGATGCCCATGCCTGGGATGGATGGTATGGGGAACATGCCTGTGTCGTCGCCGGTCGGTCAGGGGCCAGGTATGGCGATCCCAAACCTGCCGATGATGGCTCCTGTAGGCTCGGGAGGGCCGGGTGTGGGGGGTTATATGATGGGCGCGGGGACAGGGTTTGTGATTCCAGCGCATGGGCGGGGAGTTGGGGGAGGAGGGGGAATGGGGGGAATGGGCGGAGGAGGAAGGGCAGGGGGAATGCACGGGAGGGGGGCAGGTGGAGCAGGCGGGGCAGGGGGGACAGGGCCTGGGGCGGGTAGGGGAAGCGGGGTAAGTGCACAGGTCATGTCCTCCAATCGGATCATAGTGTCTACGACAGGAGCAGTTGCCAACTTGCCATCGCCAGGTTCGGGAACGAGAGACAGGCCCGGGGCAGGTCCGGATGGGCTGAAGAGGTCCGGGAGCGGTAAGACGGCGGGGCCAGTGGTACGGAGCCCCTCTGGTGGTGCTTCGGGGCAGCAGGGGAAGGAGGAGAAGGGAGGGAAGGAAGGGGAGGAGGGTGTGGGAGAGGCTGTGGTGGAAAAGAAAGAGGAGGGTGAGAAGGGCGAGGAGAAGCGGGAGAAGGGGAGTGATGCGGCTGTGGCAAATGGAGAACAGAATGTAGCAGGGAAGGGTGAAGAGGTTCAGGGGAAGAGCAAGGAGGAGGTGGCAGCGAAGGTCACAGTCGAGCCAGTTTCAGCAGAGGGGGGTGTGGGGAAAGAAAGTGCAGGGAAGGAGGGTGAAGGGAAGGAGGGTGAAGGGAAGGAGGGTGAAGGGAAGGAGGGTGAAGGGAAGGTGGGTGAAGGGAAGGTGGGTGAAGGGAAGGAGGGTGAAGGGAAGGAGGGTGAAGGGAAGGTGGTAGAAGGGAGGGATGGGAAGGACGGTGGTGATGCAAATGTGAAGGTTTCAAGCGAGGAGGAAGAGAAAAAGGCAGGCGGGGAGGTGACTGGTGTTGTGGCACCTGCTGCTGCTCCTGCTGCTGCTTCAGCTGCAGCAGTTGCTCCTGTGGTGGCGAAACCAGTGGAGGAGAGTAAGGAAGGAGAGGGGTTAAGTGGGGAGGCGGGCGCAGCAAAGGATAAAGGAGAGGAGAAGAAGGGTGGGAAGAAGAAAGACAAGAAGGAGAAGAAGAAGAAAGGAATGGAGAAGGGAGAGGAGAAGGATGTAGGTAAGAAAGAGGGGGGGGAAGCAGCAGAGCAGGAGCCTGAAGGGGAGAAGGCTAAAGGAGAGGAGAAGGAGGTTCAAGGGCCCCCCACATCTCAAGTCACAACAGTTACTGCTGTTGCTGCGACAGCTGCTGCGGCTGTTGCTGCTACAGCTGTTGCTGCTGCAGTCGGTACAGCTGCTGCTACAGCTGGGGGCAAGAACGAGGTTGGCGAAACCGCGGGTGCTGAAGGGACTGCGGCTGCTAAGTCCGAAACTGGTGAGGTTGCTGAGGGGGCTAAGGAGGCGGAGGCGACGGGTGAAGTGGCGACGGAGGGGGAAGGAGAGGCGGCTAAGAAGGGGAAGGAGGAGGAGGGGAAGAAAGTGGAAGGGGGGACGAAAGAGAAGAAGGGGGAGGAAACAGCTGAGGTTGCTCCTGGTAAGGCAGAAGAGAGCAAGGAGGCGAAGGAGGAGAAGAAGAAGGAGGAGGAGAAGGAGGATGGTAAGGTTGACGAGTGCAATGTGAAGGGTGGGATTGAGAAGGGAGGGGAAAAGGCCAAGTCAGCTGCTGCTGCTGCCGCCGCCGCAGCAGCAGCTGCCACTGCTGCTGCAGGCACAGCCGTGGCTGCTGCTACAGCCGCTGCTACAGCTGCCGTTGCTCCTGCCAAGAAGAAAAAGCTGAAGCAAGTTTTGGCAGAGAAAGAAGCTGCTGAGTCTGAACCTCCTGACCTCTATAACGCTTACACGACTAATTCTGCCAAGGGCAAGGAGGCAGAAGGGAAGAAGGCAGAGGGGAAGGTGCAAGAGCATCCAGGGCCTGCGGCGGGTGAGGTGACTGTGGAAGGAAAGGCGGGCGAGGCTGCTAAGGTAGCAGAGAGAGAGGAGGAAGAGAGAGAAGAGGAGGTGGATACAGATGCTGCTGGGAAGGGCTGTGCTGGGAAGGCGGGAGGAGGAGAGGCAGGGGCTGCGGGGACCACCCCTGCTGCTGCCGCTGCCGCTGCAGCAGCCGCTGCTGCTGTAGCTGCTGCCACTGCAGCAATCGGAGCAGCAGGTAAAGGCCCAGGAGCAACAGCAGCAGCAGGCGTAGCAGCAGGTGCAGCAGTAGGCACACCAGCAGGCACAGCGGTGGCAGAGGCAGCTGCGGCACAGAAAGGAGCGAAGGGCGCAGAGGCTGCTGCGACCAACGCGGATGGCTCGTTCAAGTATTCTCGAGACTTCCTCCTCACACTTAGAGACTCTCACAGGGACCTCCCAGGCGATATGGACTTCCGCTCCTTCCTGCGCGAGTGTAACACTGTGCTGAAACCGCCTGCTGCACAAAGAGTTCAGCAAATGGCAGCGCAAGGGTTCAACCGCCCTATTGACGCCCTTTCGGGTGCACCTGGGGGAGGTTTGAACCGGCCAGGTATGGACGAGGACCGGTGGGCGAGAGGGCCAGGTATGGGCCCGAGAGGTCCGGGCGGAGGTATGGACGGAGGGGTGCTGGGCCCGCCTGGAGGTCCGGGGTTCAGAGGTCCGGGAGGCGGGCCGCCTATGAGTATGGGAGGCCCGGGGATGCGGGGAGGAATGGGGGGACCTGGGGGACCGTTGCTGGGGAGGGGGGATAGAGGGGTTCTGCCTCATGGTGCGCCTGGGATGGGGGGACCTGGGGGGATGCCCATGGGTGGTCCGAGGGGAGGGGTGGATGCAGATAGATGGCAGAGAAACCCGATGCAGAATCGGGCTGCCCCTGTGGGACCCCCGCTGCCTGCGATTCACAAGACGGAGAATCGGTACAAGGCAGGGATGGTGTCTGATGAGGAGGAGAAGAAGCAGAGGCAGATCAAGGGGATTCTGAACAAGCTGACGCCTCAGAATTTCGACAAGCTGTTCAATCAGGTGAAGGAGGTTCAGATTGACTCTCCTGAGACGCTCACTGGGGTGATTGGGCAGATTTTCGATAAGGCTCTTTTGGAGCCGACGTTTTGTGAGCTCTATGCTAAGTTCTGCCAGGCGTTGTCGGTCGAGCTGCCTCAGTTTGGGGAGGGGAATGATAGAGTGACTTTTAAGCGCACGCTTTTAAACAAGTGCCAGGAGGAGTTTGAGCGAGGGGATCAGGAGCAGCTGGATGCTGAGAAGGAGGAGGAGGAGGTGGAGGTGGAGGAGGAGGAGGAAGGGGAGGGGAAGAAAGGGGAAGGGGAGGGGAAAGATGGGGCGGACGGGAAGGGGGAAGAGAAGAAGGAAGGGGAGGAAGAGAAGAAGGAAGGGGAGGAAGAGAAGAAGGAAGGGGAGGAGGGTGGGAAGGAGGAAGGAATGGAAGGGAAGAAGGAAGGGGGCAAGGGGGCGAAGGTGATGGTAAAGAAGATGGTGAAATTGACAGAGGCGGAGAGGCAGAGCAGGAGACAGAAGGCTCGGAGGCGCATGCTGGGGAATATCCGCTTTATAGGAGAGCTCTATAAGATGACAATGCTCACGGAGCGAATCATGCACGGGTGCATCCAGAAGCTACTTGGAAACACCGAGGTGAGCCTTTATAGCACATGACCTTGCTTTCACTTGCCTTGCCCTTTGGTTCCCCTCAAACTGCCCCCGTGTCCCCCTCTGCCTCCCACATGCCTGCCCTGCTCCCCACGCCACCCTCCCCGCTGCTCCCCACGCCACCCTCCCCGCTGCTCCCCACGCCACCCTCCCCGCTGCTCCCCACGCCACCCTCCCCGCTGCTCCCCACGCCACCCTCCCCGCTGCTCCCCACGCCACCCTCCCCGCTGCTCCCCACGCCACCCTCCCCGCTGCTCCCCACGCCACCCTCCCCGCTGCTCCCCACGCCACCCTCCCCGCTGCTCCCCACGCCACCCTCCCCGCTACTCCCCACGCCACCCTCCCCGCTGCTCCCCACGCCACCCTCCCCGCTGCTCCCACGCCACCCTCCCCGCTGCTCCCCACGCCACCCTCCCCGCTGCTCCCCACGCCACCCTCCCCGCTGCTCCCCACGCCACCCTCCCCGCTGCTCCCCACGCCACCCTCCCCGCTGCTCCCCACGCCACCCTCCCCGCTGCTCCCCACGCCACCCTCCCCGCTGCTCCCCACGCCACCCTCCCCGCTGCTCCCCACGCCACCCTCCCCGCTGCTCCCCACGCCACCCTCCCCGCTGCTCCCCACGCCACCCTCCCCGCTGCTCCCCACGCCACCCTCCCCGCTGCTCCCCACGCCACCCTCCCCGCTGCTCCCCACGCCACCCTCCCCGCTGCTCCCCACGCCACCCTCCCCGCTGCTCCCCACGCCACCCTCCCCGCTGCTCCCCACGCCACCCTCCCCGCTGCTCCCCACGCCACCCTCCCCGCTGCTCCCCACGCCCCCACCCCCGCTGCTCCCCACGCCCCCACTCCCACTGCTCCCCACGCCCCCACCCCCGCTGCTCCCTACGCCCCCACCCCTGCTGCTCCCTACGCCCCCACCCCTGCTGCTCCCCACGCCCCCACCCCCGCTGCTCCCCACGCCCCCACTCCCACTGCTCCCCACGCCCCCACCCCCGCTGCTCCCCACGCCCCCAATCCCACTGCTCCCCACGCCCCCACCCCCACTGCTCCCCACGCCCCCACCCCCACTGCTCCCCACGCCCCCACTCCCACTGCTCCCCACGCCCCCACCCCCGCTGCTCCCCACGCCCCCACCCCCGCTGCTCCCCACGCCCCCACTCCCACTGCTCCCCACGCCACCCTCCCCGCTGCTCCCCACGCCACCCTCCCCGCTGCTCCCCACGCCACCCTCCCCGCTGCTCCCCACGCCACCCTCCCCGCTGCTCCCCACGCCCCCACCCCCGCTGCTCCCCACGCCCCCACTCCCACTGCTCCCCACGCCCCCACCCCCGCTGCTCCCCACGCCCCCACTCCCACTGCTCCCCACGCCCCCACCCCCGCTGCTCCCCACGCCCCCACTCCCACTGCTCCCCACGCCCCCACCCCCGCTGCTCCCCACGCCCCCACTCCCACTGCTCCCCACGCCCCCACTCCCACTGCTCCCCACGCCCCCACCCCCACTGCTCCCCACGCCCCCACCCCCGCTGCTCCCCACGCCCCCACTCCCACTGCTCCCCACGCCCCCACCCCCGCTGCTCCCCACGCCCCCACCCCCGCTGCTCCCCACGCCCCCACCCCCGCTGCTCCCCACGCCCCCACCCTCGCTGCTCCCCACGCCCCCACTCCCACTGCTCCCCACGCCCCCACCCCCGCTGCTCCCCACGCCCCCACTCCCACTGCTCCCCACGCCCCCACCCCCGCTGCTCCCCACGCCCCCACTCCCACTGCTCCCCACGCCCCCACCCCCGCTGCTCCCCACGCCCCCACTCCCACTGCTCCCCACGCCCCCACTCCCACTGCTCCCCACGCCCCCACCCCCGCTGCTCCCCACGCCCCCACTCCCACTGCTCCCCACGCCCCCACCCCCGCTGCTCCCCACGCCCCCACTCCCACTGCTCCCCACGCCCCCACCCCCGCTGCTCCCCACGCCCCCACTCCCACTGCTCCCCACGCCCCCACCCCCGCTGCTCCCCACGCCCCCACTCCCGCTGCTCCCCACGCCCCCACCCCCGCTGCTCCCCACGCCCCCACTCCCACTGCTCCCCACGCCCCCACCCCCGCTGCTCCCCACGCCCCCATTCCCACTGCTCCCCACGCCCCCACCCCCGCTGCTCCCCACGCCCCCACTCCCACTGCTCCCCACGCCCCCACCCCCGCTGCTCCCCACGCCCCCACTCCCGCTGCTCCCCACGCCCCCACCCCCGCTGCTCCCCACGCCCCCACTCCCGCTGCTCCCCACGCCCCCACCCCCGCTGCTCCCCACGCCCCCACTCCCACTGCTCCCCACGCCCCCACCCCCGCTGCTCCCCACGCCCCCACTCCCACTGCTCCCCACGCCCCCACCCCCGCTGCTCCCCACGCCCCCACTCCCACTGCTCCCCACGCCCCCACCCCCGCTGCTCCCCACGCCCCCACTCCCACTGCTCCCCACGCCCCCACCCCCGCTGCTCCCCACGCCCCCACTCCCACTGCTCCCCACGCCCCCACCCCCGCTGCTCCCCACGCCCCCACTCCCACTGCTCCCCACGCCCCCACCCCCGCTGCTCCCCACGCCCCCACTCCCACTGCTCCCCACGCCCCCACCCCCGCTGCTCCCCACGCCCCCACTCCCACTGCTCCCCACGCCCCCACTCCAACTGCTCCCCACGCCCCCACCCCCGCTGCTCCCCACGCCCCCACTCCCACTGCTCCCCACGCCCCCACCCCCGCTGCTCCCCACGCCCCCACTCCCACTGCTCCCCACGCCCCCACCCCCGCTGCTCCCCACGCCCCCACTCCCACTGCTCCCCACGCCCCCACCCCCGCTGCTCCCCACGCCCCCACTCCCACTGCTCCCCACGCCCCCACCCCCGCTGCTCCCCACGCCCCCACTCCCACTGCTCCCCACGCCCCCACCCCCGCTGCTCCCCACGCCCCCACTCCCACTGCTCCCCACGCCCCCACCCCCGCTGCTCCCCACGCCCCCACTCCCGCTGCTCCCCACGCCCCCAATCCCACTGCTCCCCACGCCCCCACCCCCACTGCTCCCCACGCCCCCACTCCCACTGCTCCCCACGCCCCCACTCCCACTGCTCCCCACGCCCCCACCCCCACTGCTCCCCACGCCCCCACTCCCACTGCTCCCCACGCCCCCACCCCCGCTGCTCCCCACGCCCCCACCCCCGCTGCTCCCCACGCCCCCACCCCCGCTGCTCCCTACGCCCCCACTCCCACTGCTCCCCACGCCACCCTCCCCGCTGCTCCCCACGCCACCCTCCCCGCTGCTCCCCACGCCACCCTCCCCGCTGCTCCCCACGCCACCCTCCCCGCTGCTCCCCACGCCCCCACCCCCGCTGCTCCCCACGCCCCCACCCCCGCTGCTCCCCACGCCCCCACCCCCGCTGCTCCCCACGCCCCCACCCCCACTGCTCCCCACGCCCCCACCCCCGCTGCTCCCCACGCCCCCACTCCCACTGCTCCCCACGCCCCCACCCCCGCTGCTCCCCACGCCCCCACTCCCACTGCTCCCCACGCCCCCACTCCCACTGCTCCCCACGCCCCCACTCCCACTGCTCCCCACGCCCCCACTCCCACTGCTCCCCACGCCCCCACTCCCACTGCTCCCCACGCCCCACTCCACTGCCCACTGCTCCCCACGCCCCCACCCCCGCTGCTCCCCACGCCCCCACTCCCACTGCTCCCCACGCCCCCACCCCCGCTGCTCCCCACGCCCCCACTCCCACTGCTCCCCACGCCCCCACTCCCACTGCTCCCCACGCCCCCACTCCCACTGCTCCCCACGCCCCCACTCCCACTGCTCCCCACGCCCCCACCCCCGCTGCTCCCCACGCCCCCACCCCCACTGCTCCCCACGCCCCCACCCCCGCTGCTCCCCACGCCCCCACTCCCGCTGCTCCCCACGCCCCCACTCCCGCTGCTCCCCACGCCCCCACCCCCGCTGCTCCCCACGCCCCCACTCCCGCTGCTCCCCACGCCCCCACCCCCGCTGCTCCCCACGCCCCCACTCCCGCTGCTCCCCACGCCCCCACTCCCGCTGCTCCCCACGCCCCCACTCCCACTGCTCCCCACGCCCCCACTCCCACTGCTCCCCACGCCCCCACTCCCACTGCTCCCCACGCCCCCACTCCCACTGCTCCCCACGCCCCCACTCCCACTGCTCCCCACGCCCCCACTCCCACTGCTCCCCACGCCCCCACTCCCACTGCTCCCCACGCCCCCACTCCCACTGCTCCCCACGCCCCCACTCCCACTGCTCCCCACGTCCCCCACTCCCACTGCTCCCCACGCCCCCACTCCCACTGCTCCCCACGCCCCCACTCCCACTGCTCCCCACGCCCCCACTCCCACTGCTCCCCACGCCCCCACTCCCACTGCTCCCCACGCCCCCACTCCCACTGCTCCCCACGCCCCCACTCCCACTGCTCCCCACGCCCCCACTCCCACTGCTCCCCACGCCCCCACTCCCACTGCTCCCCACGCCCCCACTCCCACTGCTCCCCACGCCCCCACTCCCACTGCTCCCCACGCCCCCACTCCCACTGCTCCCCACGCCCCCACTCCCACTGCTCCCCACGCCCCCACTCCCACTGCTCCCTCCCCACGCCCCCACTCCCACTGCTCCCCACGCCCCCACTCCCACTGCTCCCCACGCCCCCACTCCCACTGCTCCCCACGCCCCCACTCCCACTGCTCCCCACGCCCCCACTCCCACTGCTCCCCACGCCCCCACTCCCACTGCTCCCCACGCCCCCACTCCCACTGCTCCCCACGCCCCCACTCCCACTGCTCCCCACGCCCCCACTCCCACTGCTCCCCACGCCCCCACTCCCACTGCTCCCCACGCCCCCACTCCCACTGCTCCCCACGCCCCCACTCCCACTGCTCCCTCTCCACTGGTCTCCGCACCCCTCTCCCCCTGGCAGAATCCGGACGAGGAGGACATGGAAGCGCCCTGCAAGGTTCTGACAACCATCGGGCACATGATCGACCACGAGAAATGAGTCATGTTTTTAGTCGACTCACAACACAACCATAGGGCACATGATCGACCACGAAAAAGCTCAGAGCCACATGGAAGCATACATGGCCCGCATCGCCCAATTCTCCACCTACCCCAAGCTCTCCTCCCGCATTCGCTTCGGCCTGCAAGACATTCTGGAGCTCCGGGCGAACAAGTGGCAGGCCAGGAGGAAGGTCGAGGGGCCGAAGAAGATCGATCAGGTGCATAGGGACGCTAGGGACGAACGGTCCAATGCCGTCGCGACAGCTGGCAGGCAGATATTGGAGCGCGGGGGCGGGGGGAGTAGGGGCCCGGGCGGCGGCATGCGCAGCGGGCGGCGGCCGGAGTATGGCATGGAGCCGCCCGGGCGGCCGGGTTTGGCTGGGTCTGGGTCGATGAGGGGCGGCCCGGGGTTGATTGGGGGGCAAGGGGGGCCGGGGGGAGGGATGTATGGGCGGGGGCCAGTGTATGGGCACCCTGGGGGGATGGGGGGGGGAAGAGGGGGAGGCCCTGGCGGGTATGAGGGGAGGGGGGGGATGGAGGATATGGGTCGGCCCATGCCCCTCCCCCAGAGGAACATGGAGGAGGGGGAATTGAAGCTGGGGCCGCATGGGGGACTGGGGAGACCTGTGGGCGGAGGGCCAGGGGGAGGCATGGGCGGGGGGATGAGGGGGGGACCTGGGGGACCTATGGGGGGACCCATGGGGGGGCTTATGGGGGGCCCAGGACGCGGGGGACCTGAAGGTCCCCCTGGCGCCATGCCTCCTGAGATGCGCAGGTTCGGGCCGAGCCAGAGCGAGAGGTTTGGGCCGAGGGTGGGGGAGATGGGGGGGCCGAGGGGCGGGGGGGATAGAGACGCGCCCATGAGGCCTGGCCCTGGCGGGTATGGGGAGAGAGGGGGGGAGAGAGGGGGGGAGAGAGAGGGGGGGCGGGGGCTTGTAGGCCCTGGATCGAGGAGTATGATGATGGGGCGAGGAGCAGGGCCTGAGGGGAGGGGGTATGGCGGGCGGGGGATGGGGATGGAGCGGGAGAGGGAGAGGGAGGTGGACGCGTGGAGAAGAGGCACGAGAATTGAGGAGGAGCCGCAAGCAGGTGGCGGTAGGGAGGGAGGGAGGGATGGGTGGAGGGAAGCGGGGAGAGGAGATGGAGGGAGAGGGGAAGTGGGGAGAGGGGGAGGGCCTGGAGTGGGGCCAGGGGCAAGAGAGGGAGCAGGCGGAGCAGGAGGAGGAGCAGGAGGAGGAGGAGGAGCAGGAGGAGGAGGAGCAGGGGCAGGGGCTGCAGCAGGCACAGGAGCAGGAGCAGGAGCAGCAGGGGGGCCAGGAGGGGGAGCAGGAGGTGCAAAGGCGGGGGCGGGGATGGATGAAGAGAGCGCAGTGGCAAAGGCCAACAGTGCATTGGAAGAATTTCTCAGGTGAGGCAGCAAGTGGTTCAGGTGTTGGCTCAGGTGATTTTGCTGGTCTCGCCCCCTCACAGCTTCTAGTCACTGCCTTTTTCTTCCCACCTCCTTCTCTATTCTTTTGTTCCGTAACGTTCTCTCAGTGTGTCTGTGCATCGAGGAGCTGCAATCGCCACAGCATCGCCAGCTCTCTCGCACCTTTTGATTGTTGCCCATTTCTCCCTGCGCTTTACCTCCCTCCCCTTGTCTCACAGTGCCCGTGATTTCAAGGAGGTCTGTCTGTGCATCGAGGAGCTACAGGCGCCGCAGCATCACGGGGCGGTAGTGGCGGGGTGGGTGGCGGCGGGACTCGATAAGAAGGAGGCGCAGAGGCAGCAGGTGGAGGACCTGGTCGTGCGGCTGTGCTGCGAGCCCAAGCCGCCACTCTTCACAAGTGACCAGATCCAACAAGGGTAGGTGACCCTCTGGCACACACATGGCAGGTCAGGTGGGGCAGGGGGAGCAAGGGTAGGGGTGGCGGCAGGGCTGGACGAGGAGGCGCAGAGGCAGCAGGTGGAGGACCTGGTGGTGCGCCTCTGCTGCGAGCCTACACCCTCACTCTTCACGAGTGAACAGATGCATGGAAAAGGAGGTGCATGGAAAAGGAGGTGGGGCTTAAGGTTCAGGGTTGAGGGTGTAAGAGAGGGAGGCCGCAGAGGCAGCAGGTGGAGGATGTGGTGGTGCGCCTCTGCTTCGAGCCCAAGCCACCGCTCTTCACCAGTGAACAGATCCAGCAAGGGTGGGTGCAGCGGGGAAGCAAGGGTAGGTGGGGCAGAAGGATCAAGGTTTGGTGGGAGGGGCAAGGGGCACACACACACTTTTGGGTGCCGATGAATTAACATTCAGTTGATTTTTCGTCCCACATCCCACTCACTTCATCCATGCCCCCATCCCCCCTTCTTCTCCACCCAGCCCTTTCTTTCCTTTCCCTCCCCTCCCCCTCCTCCACCTCCCCCTCCCCTTTCCCCCTTTCCCTCAGTCTGGTGCGAGTCTTCCAGGAGCTCGAGGGTTGGTTAGCTGATGCCCCCATCGGACCTCCTATCTCTCTCTTCATGCCCCCATCCCCGTCCCTCTCCACCCTCTTCCCTCCCCACTTCAGTCTGGTGAGAGTCTTCCAGGAGCTCGAGGATTGGTCAGTTGACGCCCCCAAGGCCCCGCAGCACGTGGGCCGCCTGATTGGCCGGCTCGTGGCAGCCGGCGCCATCCCACTGGCCGACGTGGCCCGGCTGGTGAAATCAGGCGGTGCAGAGGAGGGGAGTCTGGTGGAGATGGGTGAGGGGATGAAGGTGATGGCAGCGGTGGTGGGTGCAGTGAGGGCGGAGAAGGGGGAGAAGGAGGCCGGGGAGATGGTGCGGGCGGCAGGGATTGAGGGGCCGGAAGAGTTTATGGAGGAGAGGGCGAGAGGGTGGAAGGAGAAGGTTGAGGAGGCGCGGAAGGCTCTGGGGCTGGCAGGTGCTACGGATCCGGTGAGTGGTGTATAGGTGTGATGAGTGGTGTGTGGATTTGGGGAGTGGTGTGTGGATGGGTGAGTGGTGTGTGCTGCAAGTGTTATACAAGTGATAAGGGCTTATTAAACCTAGTCTGCTAGTACATCCCTGACCTCTCCTTTTTCTCTCTCCCCTCTCCCCTCTCCCTCTTCCTCCCTCCACCCTTTCTGAAATGCATTAAACCCCTCCTCGTTCTTGTCATTCCTTTTTGGGAAGGATGCACATTCCTGACCCTTCTTCCCTCTCCCCCTCCCCTCTCCCCTGTCCCCTGTCCCCTGCCCCCTGTCCCTCCGCATCTATATGATTCCATGCCAGCTGCAAGCAGTGGCAGAGCACCTGAAAGACGCTTTTGCGAAGGGAGAATCAGCAGAGGCTGTGCTTAAATGGCTTCAGGTGAGATCTCAGGTGCCTTTAGGTGAAATCTCACAGGTGACCCCAGGTGAGATCTCAGGTGCCTTTAGGTGAGATCTCAGGTGACCCCAGGTGAGATCTCAGGTGCCTTTAGGTGAGATCTCAGGTGACTTAAGGTGGAGTTCCAGGTGGGACTGGTTTCAGCTGAATGATGTGCGTGTGGCCATAGTTAGTACTCTGAGCACACTCCAACGGTCGCAAGAGCATGCAGTGTACCTACCTCCATGCAATGGCATCCCTCTCATGTATTTTGCGTGGTTTCAAGATTCAACAGGATCATCAGCCTGTCTCTTTGCGTCCATCCCTGTGTCCCCACGACATCCTTCCCCCTGCATCCAACCCTGTGACTGCTGCAGGCCAACACTCCACCTGACACCCCAACGCAGCCAGCTCTCCTGCGCCTGCTCATGCGCTCGCTGCTGCAGCAGTGCATTGGTGCCAGCAGACAAGACTTCAAGGTAGGGTTCTAACTGGCTGCGTGGCGGACTGACTGACTGACTGACTGACTGACTGACTGACTGACTGACTGACTGACTGACTGACTGACTGACTGACTGACTGACTGACTGACTGACTGACTGACTGACTGACTGACTGACTACTGACTGACTGACTGACTGACTGACTGACTGACTGACTGACTGACTGACTGACTGACTGACTGACTGACTGACTGACTGACTGACTGACTGACTGACTGACTGACTGACTGACTGACTGACTGACTGACTGACTGGCTGGCTGGCTGGCTGGCTGGCTGGCTGGCTGGCTGGCTGGCTGACCGACGGATTGACAGTGCGGTTGACTGACTGAGCGGCAACTGTCTGTCTGTGTTGGATCAAATGACCAAGTGACTGAGTGACCGACTGATCAACCTCACGCTGCTTGATCCCTTCCTGTTTAGCCTCTCCATCCATCCCCGCTTTTCTTTCTCCCTTCGTCTCTACCTGCCAGTCTCTTCCCTCCCACAGCTCTTCCGTTTTTGTTTCTAACGGGCAACCTTCTCATTTTCTTTTCCCCCCTTTCTTGCTGGCATGTGGATGAAAGCAGAAGCTTCTGGCAGGGCCAGTAAAGAAGTATGCCAAGGTCTTCCATGAGTATGCAGCAAAGAAGCAAAAACCCAACCAAGTTCAATGTGAGTGCTTCCTTCCCATTCGCCACCACTTCCTTTCCCGATTCTGCTAGGACCGACTTTCTTCTTTATTCTCTCCCAAAAGTGACTTCAATATTCTGAAAGGTGCTTCTTTCGTGGCGACTCTCCCAGAAGCTGCTTCCTTTTTTTACATCTTATAATTGCACCTTTTTTCAAATTTCTCCCTCGCCTTCAGATCTTTTCGGAGCTCAAGAGTATGCAGAGTCGTGTGGGCACCCAGCGGGCCTGCTAGATGCGGTCTTCAGAACACTCTACGACCTCGATGTGAGCCTTGCTCTCTCCTTTCTGCTTCATGTGCCTGACTGACTGCTGACTCTCATGGGTCCCACTGATTTCAAGCTGCCTCTGCCCAGGAATGTTCCTTGCATGCTCCTGCTGTCTTGCTTTCATTGCTCTATGCCACGCACATCGCCAATTTCATCGTCTTCTCTGGCTGTGTGGAGGAGGTGGGGGGGGGGAGCTGATGCTGTATACGTGGCAAGACGACAAGGACTCAATAAAAAATGCATATTACGATCTTCATTTCGCCCTCTTTATCCAATGGCCATCTCTGTCGTGTCTGTGTGGAGCAGGTGGTGGAGGAGCTTATGATCTTCAGGTGGCAAGACGACAACAAGGACCCAACGCCTGGCAAGCAAAAGGTGTGTGCCATGGCGTATGCAGAAGCAACGATTGCAATTTGACTGCTAATGTCAAGAGCCTTTGTGATTGGTGTCTGGCGTCGCCTCTTATCGCTGGCTGACCCTTTCTGTGTCTTTTTTTCTTCTCTCGTTCTGCAGGCATACTTGGATGTGCGCCATTTTCTTACTTGGCTAAGCACAGCACAGGAGGAGGGCACAGAGGAAAATGGAGGTAGTGGTGATGAGAAGGCTTAAATACAGTTCTCCACAACTCGAGAAAAAACGCAGCTCCATGGCTTTAGATGGCCATAGTTGTGATTGATGTGATGTGAAGGCAAATGCCCGTTATCACCATTCTTGTTCCATTGTTGTACCTTGCTCTGATTCTATGCCGGCTGCACTGCAATTTGTGTACTATTTCAAATTTCGGCTGCATAATTGGAGATATCGAGGTCGCAGTTGTGCGATTGTGTTGGACACACCATCCACCCTTGATCATAGCCAGGGTGTTCAACACAAGTGCCCTTTCGTTTCGTGCGATGCTGACGTCCATGATCATGTCGCATGCGTCGTCACGCGCACGCTACGACATGCTCACAACATCGCCGAGCTGGCGATGTCATGCGAAACGCCCGTCACGATGGATTAGATCTTTCGCAGCGTCGCGTCTCAGTCGTGCAAGGTATTTCCCAACCACCCAAGCCTACATGTCTCCCAACTTCCGCCTGGTCTCCGATTTGGAGGTTGGCCAAGAAGGCGGCTCCTTGGGAATTGTGTGCAAGGTTTTTCCGCCTGCCATCAGCCTCTTTTGCAGCTTGCGCCAAAGTTGCGCGCGCAACGCCTGCGCCCGCACCAATCTGGCTGTGCCCCCGCCCCTGGTCCTTCTCCAGGTGAGTCAGTTTCGTTCTGAAGCTTTCCACGTGGCCTTGGTTTTCCCAGCTTCTGCCGCGGGGCCCTTGAAACTGCCGATTTGCGGAGAGGTGGACGGAAAGGTAGGCGCGACATTATCCAGGTTTCTGTAGGCACAAGACAGGCACTGTTGTACGCTTACCGGGAAAGGGCTTTTCGGTGTGTTGAAACTTGAAATAACCAAACCGAACCAAACCAAAGAGTGTAGTCCCGTGATCAGTCAGTCAGTGAGCAGCAAGCAAGTACAGTGCAGGGGGCTAGTGATTTAAAGCTCAAGGCCCAAATTGCAGAGCGCGCGGGGCAAGCTTACTAAAGTTGATCAGAGTGGTGTTGTGGGGGTTGTTTGGTTGCGAATTGTGGTTACGAGAAGTGCGATGCTGTGTGATTGGCCAGCAGTTTTTTTGTCCAATGGGAGAGAATGAAACACCAAGAATATTGTGAGTGCAATTTGGGACTTCGACAACCAAATCGAGTTGCCCTGGGGTTTGCTGAGTCAGCGAAAGCCTAGCGCGAAGCTGGGCGAAACTGACGAGCCCAACTTCAAAAAAGTCAACGTTCCTCTCTCGATACCCCAAGGGCAACCTTACTAAGGTTGAACAATTTGGGCCTTGAGCTTTAATGGTGCTCATTCTGAGACAGCAGCAGAAACCTGCAAAACAACATGCAACTAGCACCCACCTTGGCTAACCCTAAAGTTCACTCCCGCCGCTGTGAAGCTATTTTTCCCAGCCTTTTTCGCTCGAGAGCTTTAGTGTAGTTATTGGCGTGACAGTAGCGGCGGAGCTGTGGCGGCTGTCGTTTAATGCGCGACAAAAAATATCCAGGTTATCTTGATGTTACCGTAACTGGCGGGGAGTAAGTCGTGCCGTTCGTGGTGATCAGAAATCAAGTGCTTTTTAAGAATGGAGCAGCTAGTATGTAGACCCTGTCAACGTTCGCGGGGTGAATGTAGATGACGTGACGTACACCGATACTCCTTAAATTCGTTTTCTTTGTAAGCGACGCACTTTTCAACTAGACACGTTTGGAGCCGCGCAGAGACAGACAGATAGAGGCGTTCCCGACACGTCCGGAAGAATTGCGTTCCGTTCTTTCTGGCATCCTCGCCGTTCTTTCGACATAGCTAGGCAGCACTCGCGATGCTTTCGTCTACTCTCCCCGCGTGTGACCGTTGGCTAGAGACATAACATCGGGGATCGCCGAGCGAAAGTAGGGAGGGTTACCAGCTTTCGCCATGAACAGGTGTGTTTGTCGTCGTGAACCGTCGCAACCGGTACCAGTTGTCAGGTGCATCACAGAACGTTGTGTCCAGCGATTCCGCCACTGACAGCATCGTACTGGATCAGCTCGCTTGTTCTGCAAGCATTCAATGTGTGGTCCATTCTCTGCGGTTTTCACTATTAAGTTGTTGCGACTTGTCTATCAGAACAACCTAGGAACGTTTCGCAAGTGTTCGTTGTCAACAGTCCATGTCCGATCTCATATCGGGGCATTCAGTAGGACGTCCTTCCGTCTCCCCGTCCATTTTGTAGACGATGGCCCTCTAAGTTGGCTTGAAGCCTGACTACTAGTACTGTCCGGACGTTCAATATAGCGCCTAAATGCTTTCACTCGTAGGACCTTCCAGCACCCCTTCCGTTTCAGACGCGACGACTCTTTGAGTCGAGTCGATGGGACTGCGGGTGTGTGCTGGTACAAGCGCGTAACTCAATGAAACATGCCTTTTGAGGCACCTAAAAAATCGTCTCATGACTCGCGGGTTTGTGCTGGTACATGGCAATGAAGACGATTCTGGAGTTTGACTCAAAAGTCAGCGTTTTTTACTTCGACTCGATCCGTGTGGGTGGAGTGCGTGCAGGTACAAGGTAATCAAGCAGATGGGCGATGGCACGTACGGCACCGTCTGGAAGGCCATGAACCTCCACACAAATGAGATTGTGAGAGCAACCTATTGAAACAATTTTCGTGTGACAGTTCTCGTTTCGTCGTCCGTATTGTACCGTGTTCCTCTGCTGTCCTCTGCGGTGCATCCCGCAGTGCGTTGTGCCGCGTACTGCGCCGTGTGTCACAGTCTCAGTGTCCCCTCTTCCTCTCCCCTCCGTTCCTCTCCGTGCGCTCCCCTTTCCCCCCCTCCCCCCCTCCTCCGCTCCCTCGCCCCCTTACCCCCGCCGCCTCCCCCTCGCTCTTTACCGCAGGTGGCGGTGAAAAAGATGAAGCGGAAATTCTACTCGTGGGAAGAGTGTATGAGTTTGAGAGAAGTCAAGGTAAGCGCTTTAATAAGCTTCAAGCGCCCTTAAGGACCCGAGGCGATAGCTGGATTGGACCGCGAGAGCAGAGCGCTGGAGCGAGCTGAAGTGACTCTAAGTTACCGAGATGCCTTTTGAGTCCACTCCAAAGTCATATCGGTTGATACTTTAAGTTTCCGTTTTTTTACGTTTTGGCCCCGTTTTCTGTTCCGCCTGCCTCTGTTCGCCGCATTTGAATCCCCAACCTTCGCTGATCGGTTGCTGTGCAAGCAAAACCGCAACCTCCCTCCCCGCTTACTTCGTCTCTGATTCTTTCCCTCACCCTCCTCCAGTTGCTGCGCAAGCGAAACCGCATTCTCCTCCCCCTCCCCCCGCCCTTCCCCTGGTCCTGTCCTGCGCCCGCCATTTCACTCACGTTACTCGCCTCCCCCTCAGCATTCAGCAGTTGCTGCGCAATCTGAACCCCCCTCCTTTCCCCCCTCCTTTCCCCTCCCCTCCCATCCCATCACCCCCCCTCCTCATCGTGTGCCAGTCACTGCGCAAGCTGAACACACATTCACCCTCATCTCTTCCCGTTCCCCTCCCTTTACCCCCCCCCCCCCCCCCCCCAACCCCCTCCCTCCCCCCTCCTCTTCACTGTGCGTCAGTCGCTGCGCAAGCTGAACCACAGCAACATCGTGCGGCTGAAGGAGGTGATCCGGGAAAACAACGAGCTATTCTTCATCTTCGAATACATGGTGAGGCTCTTGAGAGTTTGGGACAGGAGCAACGAGATTTACTCGTTCTCTAATGCATGGTGGGATCAGTTGGTTGGCCTGCCGTGGTGACATTTCTTCGCCTGCCTCTTCTCCCGCCCTAGCCCCAGCTGTCTTTATCACAGTCAGCAGTATATGATAATGAAGGAATGGCCATGTATTGACTTTCCCCCCCCGTTCTCCCGCCCTGCCCCCAATCCTCCTCTCTCGCAGGACTGCAATCTTTACCAAGTCATGAAGGACAGGGAGACGCTTTTCCCCGAGTCAAAAATACGCAGCTGGATGTACCAGGTACGTGAACCCCTCCCCTAGCGAGGCGACTTTTGAGTTGCAAGGGCTAGCATACATGCACAAGCACAGGTACTTTCACCGCAACTTAAAGCCCGAAAACCTGTTTATGAGGCCTCTCCCTTCTCTTTTTCCCCCACTCCCCTCCCCCATTTCCCCCGCAGGTGCTGCAAGGGCTAGCGTACATGCACAAGCACGGGTACTTCCACCGCGACTTAAAGCCCGAGAACCTGCTGGTGACCAAGGACGTGATCAAGGTGGCCGACTTTGGGCTCGCCCGGGAGGTGCGGTCGCGGCCGCCCTTCACGGATTATGTCTCCACACGATGGTGAGTTTGGGGGTTGGGCTCCGCACAGCCAGATCGTGCTGTATAGACCTGAGATAATAGATTCGGATATAAGAGGTGCGGTCGCGGCCGGCCTTCACAGACTATGTCTCCACTCGATGGTACATTCAACCGCAGATGGGGACATGATGTTGAACGGTTGGGTTCGTGTTATAGAGGCTGCAAATGGAGATGCGAGACTTTCTTGGGTCGAACGAACTTCTTGCTACAGCACTAGGCTGTAGATCAGATGATCCTTTAGGGATGCCTCTGTATCTTCCTTCTGTCTCTCAAACGCTGGTGTGCCTTGTTCTCCCACTCACACCCCTTGTCTCGTGACGTTCCCTCACTTCCACCTGTTCTCTGAGCAGGTACCGTGCTCCAGAGGTGCTTCTGCAGTCCACCGTTTACAACGCCCCCATCGGTATGTGATTTGCCCCTTGTTGTATCAAGAAACGCGTAAACCCCCAGCGTACTCACTTCACTTCACCTGCTCTCTCCCCACCTCCGCAGTCCCCTCCGTTTACAACGCCCCCATTCCCACGTCACGTGCTCCTTGTTGTATTCCGAAAATGTTGAAGTTCTCAGTTCATCTCCTCCCCTCTCCTCCCAATTGCTGAAGCGCCTTTCCATTGCTCTCGTTCCCGGTGTTTCCCCGCACCCCCCTCCCCCCCACCCTTTCCTCCCCCTGTGCAGACATGTGGGCCATTGGGGGCATCATGGCGGAGCTATTTTCCCTCCGCCCGCTCTTCCCTGGCGCCAGGTGCGGATGGGTTGGGATGGGGGCATGTGGATTGCAGGGGCATGTGGGTCACAGGGGCATGTGGGTCACAGGGGCATGCGGGTCGCCGGGGCATGTGGGTCACATGAAGCACAGGATTCAAGCTGCACATCCTATAACCCCTCCCCACCCCTGGCAGCGAGATTGAAAAGATGGTTAAGATCTGTTCAGTCATTGGCACACCCACGCACCATACACACTGCACGCGTTCCCTTCCCACTGCTCCCAACCGTGTCGTACCTTCTGTGCACCCTCCCCACTCCTGGCAGCAAGATCGACGAGATAGTGAAGATCTGCTCAGTCATCGGCACGCCCACCGTGCACACGTGTTTCCCTCCCACCGCTCCCAACCGTCCAATACCCTCCTTGGCCCTCTTGTCTCCCTCCCCACCTCTGGCAGCGAGATCGACGAGATAGTGAAGATCTGTTCAGTCATTGGCACGCCCACCGTGCACACGTGGCCACAGGGCCTCAAACTCGCCGCTGCCATGAACTTCCGATTTCCTGAGGTGGGTGGGTGGGTCACTGGCTGGGTGGGTGGGGCGGGTGAGTGGGCGGGCAGGCGGGCGGGCAAATGGGTGGGTGGGGCCCTCCCACCTGACGAGCGTCAAGCTCAAATGCAAGCCACACGCCCACTGTGCACACGTGGCCGCAGGGCTTCAAGCTCGCTGCTGCCATGAACTTCCGATTTCCAGAGGTGGGTGGGTGAATGGGTGGGTGGGATTGTGGGCGGGTGGGTGGGTGGGTGGGTCCCTGGGTCTCTTGGTATAGTTCTGTCATTGGACACCCACGGTGCACACGTGGCCGCAGAGCCTCAAGCTCGCCGCTGCCATGAACTTCCGATTTCCTGAGGTGCGTGGGTGAATGGGTGGGTGGGCGGGTGGGCAGGTGGGCGGGTAGGGGGGCGGGTGGGTGGGTGGGGCACTGGCCCCTGATTACGACCTGGTTAGGGCATGGAACCTGGATGCCTCAACATGCTTCGTTTCCCCTCTCCCCCCCCCCTCCACTTCCCCCACCAACGCCAGTACTCGCCCATCCCCTTCTCGAAGCTCATTCCCTCTGCCTCTCCTGAAGCCATTGACCTCATGACTCTGCTCTGCTCCTGGGACCCCGCCAGGCGACCCACTGCTGCACAGTCGCTGCAACACCCCTTTTTCCTGGTGGGTTGGGGAGGGGAGTGGGTAAAAAGGGGGAAGTGGGTAGCAATTGGGGAGGTAGCAATTAGCAACACCCCTTCTTCCTTCATCCCCCCACCTCCCATCCCCCCACCTCCCATCCCCCCACCTCCCATCCCCCCACTTCCCATCCCCCCACCTCCCATCCCCCCACTTCCCATCCCCCCACCTCCCATCCCCCCACTTCCCATCCCCCCACTTCCCATCCCCCCACCTCCCATCCCCTCACCTCCCATCCCTGCACCTTCCATCCCCCCACCTCCCATCCTCACACCCCCCATCCCCCCACCCCACATCCCTGCTCCTCCCATCCCTGCTCCTCCCATCCCCGCACCCCCCATCCCTACACCTCCCATCCCCCCACCTCCCATCCCCCTACCTCCCACCCCCCCATCTCCCATCCTCCCACCCCCCATGTCTGCGCCTCCCATCCCTGCTTCTCTCATGTTCCTTTTGTTATTTCTTGCCCTACCTCTTCTCCTCCTCTCCTCCCTCTCCTCCCTGCAGAGCGGAATCCAGGTCCCTCCAGTGATGCCGTCACCCAAGCCGAACCCCACCAATTCCAGCCGCACGCACCCCGTCACATCGCCGCACCTCCCCTCCCTGCCTCAAGCCGCCAGCAAGCCATACAGCCACCTGGATGAGCACTTAGACGAGTGGGAAGGGGCGCCGGGGCAGTCAGGGGGAAGCGGGGCCATGGGGCCAGCAGGGGGGGGAATGGGCGCGGGAGGGGGAGGGGGAGGGGGGTATTTGCCACAGCAGGGGCAGGTGGGTCAGCAGCAGCAGCAGAAGCAGCCGCTGCAACCGCACCTGCTGCAGCAGCAGGGGGGGTATTCGGGTCAGGATAGTGTGGGTGCGAGGGGGGGTGCTTTGGCTCAGAAGCAGCTGCAGCTGCAGCAGCAGCAGCAGCAATTGCAGCAACAGCAACAGTTGCAGCAGCAGCAGCAGCAGCAGCAATTGCAGCAACAGCAGCAGTTGCAACAGCAGCAGCAACTTCAGCAGCAGCAGCTGCAGAGGCAGCTATCAGGGGTGAGTGGGGTGGAACAGCAGGGGGGAAGGAGAGCTTCAGGGCAGTACGGGCAGCCGCAGGTGGGGCAGCAAATGGGAAAGCAGGTGGGAGCGGCGGTGGGGGGAATGGGCGTGGAGCAGCAAGCCTCGAGAGGGCGTGGGCAGGGGCAGCAATACGCGCAGCAGTTGCAGCAGCAGCTGCAGCAGCAGTACCAGCAGCCACTGGACGTTGCAAGTGATATAGCAGGACCTGGGCTGGAAGCAATGACTCCTAGATCTAGAGCCCAGATGCAGCAGCAGCAGCAGCAACTGCAGCAGCAGCAGCAACTGCAGCAGCAGCAGCAACAGCAGCAACAGCCGTACATGCAGATGCAGAAGCAACCGCTGACGCTGCAAACACAGCTGTCTGGGGTGAACGCAGCTGCACTGGAAGCTCTAACCCCACGTGCCCGTGCCCAGTATTACCAGCAGCAGCAGCAGAAGCCGCTGCAGACGCAGCTTTCAGGTGTAGGCCTTGACCCGCTAACCCCCCGATCCCGCCAACAGCAGCAGCAGCAAGTTCAGTCCCAGTACCAGCAGCAGCAGCAACTGCAGTCCCAACTGTCAGGGGCAGGCTTGGAGGCTATGACTCCCAGGTCGAGGTCCCAGGCTCAGCAGCTGTTTCAGCAGCAGCAGATGATGCAGCAGATGATGCAGCAGCAGCAGCTGCTGGAGTCGCAAGCAGGAGGGCAGGAGCAGGCACAGGCTCGCATGCGTGCCCGCGCGCCTCCCCCGTTGCAGCAGCCGCAGCAGGGAATGGGTCAAGGGCAGGGGCTGGGGCAGGGGCAAGGGCAAGAGTATAGCATAGTTTCTCCCCGTGCCATGCAGTCTTTTCAAGACGGGGGCTATGCCGGGCCTGCGGGCCTGCCGGAAAACTTTTCGGGCAGACCGGATCCGATGCATATGGATGGCGGGGGAGTGGGGGGGTTGGGGGGAGGCGGAGGGGGAGGGGGCGGGGGAGGGAAGTCGTCGCAGGGAATGGGGTTCCTGGGGAGGAAGATTGCATCCAAGAGCGTGAGCGCGAGGAATCAGCAGCCTGTTGGGGATGGTGGGGGAGCAGGAGGAGGTGGGGGAGGGGGAGGAGGGAGGCTGGCTTCGTTGCAAAGATATGGCAGCCAATTACTGGGTGAGTGGTGAGGGTGGTGTCTTTTGAGGCGCCTCAAGAGTGGTGAGGGTGGCGTGATTGGAGTCAGTGACTCCCTCATGAATCTCCTCTCCTCCCTGACAGGCATATCGCAGCACTCTAATGATTTCTCTTTTGAGGCGCCTCACAGGTCGTTTTTGCTGGTGCTCAATCAGTCAATGTTCCTACCTACCTCATCATCTTCCCCTCTTCCTTGGCAGGCATATCGCGGCACTCAAACGCCTCTTCTTCGCGGTCCAATGCTACAGGAGCTGCCCCCATGGTACTCCCTTCTTCCTTCGCTCCCCACCCACCACCCTATCTCCCCTCCCCCCTCTCTCGTCCTCCCCCTCATGCTACAATGTGCTCGCCCCCCCAACCCCTCACCCCCCTTCCATCACCCTGTCCTCCGTGTGATTTTATCTCCAACCTCTCATTTCCTACCGTCTGGTTTGCTTTTATCTCCTCAAGTCCTCCCCGATTTCTCTGTCCTCTATTGAAGAATAATCTCACGTTTGTTTCCTTCTCTCTGTCCGATGATGACTGATGCGTTCCAAACCCGAAACCCGGAAAACCCTAACTCTTTTCATCATCATCACATCATCGCATTGCGCCATCGTCTTGCCCCTCGTGCCCCATCAGGACATGCAGATGGACACATCACCACACATGGCAGCACCTTCATCCCGCAAATCTGCAGCAGGTGAAATGTAGCTCTTGAATGTGCTTCTTCCCTCTTTGCTCTCCCCCTTCTTTAATCTCCCTCCCCCTCTTGTCCCTTCTCTTGCAACTCCTCCCACTCTGCATCCGCCCCTTGCCCCCTCCCCCTTTGTGCCCCCTCATCCGTCCTCACTCCTCTTCCCATTCTTCTACCCCTGCCCCCTTCCCCCCCACCAGCACTAGCAAGGGCAGGGTCAGCAGCAGCATCCATGGCAGCAGCAGGGCCCCCCTCGCCTCACGATCCCAGTGCAGCCTATTCCAGGTATGGTGCGGCAGAGTTTACCACGATGCATGTGCCATGGTACATGTTGCATGTGGAGGATGCATGTGGTACATGTTGCATGTGGAGGATGCATGTGGTACATGTTGCATGTGGAGGATGCATGTGGTACATGTTGCTTGTGGAGGATGCATGTGGTACATGTTGCATGTGGAGGATGCAAGTGGTACATGTTGCATGTGGAGGATGCATGTGGTACATGTTGCATGTGGAGGATGCATGTGGTACATGTTGCATGTGGAGGATGCATGTGGTACATGTTGCATGTGGAGGATGCATGTGGTACATGTTGCATGTGGAGGATGCATGTGGTACATGTTGCTTGTGGAGGATGCATGTGGTACATGTTGCATTTGAAGGATGCAAGTGGTACATGTTGCATGTGGAGGATGCATGTGGTACATGTTGCATGTGGAGGATGCAAGTGGTACATGTTGCATGTGGAGGATGCATGTGGTACATGTTGCTTGTGGAGGATGCATGTGGTACATGTTGCATGTGGAGGATGCATGTGGTACATGTTGCTTCCTTATTGCACTCTGCAAACATAAGAGGTGAGCACATGTGTTTCATGTCTTTCATATCAACAGCCGTTCACATGCATGCACCCTCATTCCACCCCCCACCACACCACCATCATCAGAATGGGGACCTACCCGGCAACACACGCCCAGGATGCATATGCGTATGGCAATGGGCCGGCAGACATGGGTCCCCCTGGGGATTACTATGGGGGGGGAGGCGGTCAGATGGATATGATGGGGGGAGGTGGGATGGATATGATGGGAGGAGGAGGAGGAGGCATGGGGGGAGGGGCCGGGGGAGGCGGCGTGGGGGGGCCAGGAGGGGGTATGACGCGAAACGGAAGATACTCGATGGATATGGGGGGTTATTCGGTTCACTGAGAGGTGGGCTTGTTGATTTGATTCTGCTGCTAACTTCTCGGTTGCAACTGCTGTTGCTGGTGACGTGGAGTGCGGAGTTTGGACCCTGATGCTGCTGAAAGAGCAAGTATCAGCAGCAGTCACTTTACCAGAGATCAGCAGGCCGTTCATCACTAACCACATGATCTCATCTCAACAAACCCTCCAGCTAATTTCTCGTTTGTCCATTCCTGTTCATCCAATTCACTGGATCAAAATGGGTTCGCTTCGAGTGTCGATGCTGGTTGCGGCTGCAAGTATTGTTGTCCAGTGCATGAGACCAATGAGTCCGATGCAACACATGATTCCCAAAGTCGGCTGTTGTTTCCGCTTTCTAATGTTGGTTTGAAATCCCTTACACCTTGTATGTTGAACATTCGTTCTAGGATTCGTGACACAGCTATCTGTGAGGGCCGAACCATAGTGAAGCTGCTTTTACTGAACCATAGTAAACCATACCTCATGTGTGTCAGACAGTGGCTGGGTGACTGCTTTCCCCCATGCGCCCCTGCCCCACGGAGCCTCCGCCAATTTGAATTCGCGCGATGAATTTGATGAGGGCAGAGTTCGCAGTACCACTTGCCTCTGCTGAAGTCCTGATACAGTACAAGTGTTCCGGGTTAGAGGCCCTCGCTAAAAGAGTCCCTTTTCCCCCTTGAGTAGAGTTTTCCGATATCGCCTAGGTTTGGCCCGACCCCTATAGTCCCTTTTTTTACAGGAAATTTCGTGCAAAATTTCCTGTAAAATTTCCTGTAAAAATTTTGCAAAATTTTGCAATGATTCGTGCACGAATCAGCTCCGCAGCCAATCAGAGGCTCCAGATCGAAATTTTGCCAATCAGCTCCAATCATTTTGCAATGATTCAGCTCCGCAGCCAATCAGAGGCTCCAGATCGAACCAGCCCAACATTCAGGGAAAACGATAAATAAGGGATAATCTATTCGATATTTAACTTTGGAATTGTAAGTAATTGTTTCTCTTGACCGTGATCACTTTTCAATCCTGTCGCGCGGTCTCCAGCGCGCTCGACGATGACATCTCATTTATCTCGCTTACAAGGTAGAATTGAAGTTTTTACCTTCTATTTGACCCCCAAACCCTGATTGGTTTTGTTTTTTGTTTGCCCGTTAGTCATGCGGACATTGATCAGCGCGGGGAGCCGTGCAACGAGAAGTTGAAGCAAGCGCGGTCCGAATCTACGTAAAAGACTAAATCCAAAAACTAGTAGCAAACAAACCACTCTTCATGCAATTCTCGTGAACGGGACTATAAGTATCGTGTTTTGCCCGGGGTTTGAAGGATTTCGCACATAGTCCGCGTGCGGCGTCTCATTCCGTCGGACTATATACGAGAATATTTGTAGCATATGGAGTTCGCCCTGAAAAGTGAGTTTCCCATCCTTATCACCCTGTTTTAGGCGACAGAGGCGTCGGGAATAGTTGGGTTCCTCCCGCCATTCGTCTTTTGAGTCTGCATACCCGCCTCGCCCAGAATGGCTGGTTCCGGCCACTTGGCTTCCATCCAGCAGGTACAGCTTTCATAAAGGTGTCTCTTTGCTAGGGTAGCACACTTCCCTCTGCATTCGACATCATCTCGCAACAGCGATATCATATCCACACCTTTTCCACTCAAACCCACAAGTTTCCCGCCTAACATGCACTCTAGCAGCCTTGTGTGCGAGAGAGTAAACAGCAACAAATGTTTAGGGTCATAGTGTGTTCTTTTCTCTGGCAGCATAATACCGTACATTGCAAAAAGTGTGTTCGTTGCTCCCTATACATTTTGGCAGTGACCTCGTCGCACCCTGCATTTGCATGGCTTTGTCACAGCCCTGAATCTGAAGGATCAACCGGGAAACTTTCCCGAGGGCTCGGAAAAAACAAAAATAACAAATGAAAAGGTCATGAACACTGCTGGTATCAGAGAATCGGGTCGCATACACATTCTGTCAGGATGTGTACAGTCGCCTCCTCAACGCATCCACATACGTGGGTATTCTTTGTCTAAAAGTTGACCAAAATCGCAATCTCTCAAACCTTTTTTCGCCGTACTAAACCACACCACAACTCTTCCTTCTTTGATGTCACTTCCAACTCACCCATAATGTGCCATGCATGATTGTTTATGGAAGAGAGACTGAAGGCCATACATTTCAATTATAGTACAGTATCAACTCTTCAATCAGAAGATTGTGTATTCTCCAGAACAGAAAGTGGTACCCTGTGTTTGGTAGTCAGGCGAGCTCCTTGTGGCATGGCGTGATTCGAACGGGACAGGACGGGAACCGTGCCGCTGCTCTCAGCAGCTCGCACCATTAATTCGATTCCTTCAGTTTGCTGAACTGATGTCTTCGCTTCAGGCGTACTTCCGTTCGAAGCATTTCGAGATCCTGGCGAGGAGTGCAGATAAGGCGGCCCCACCTCAGCGACTTAGCTAACTCGGATGTCTTAGCGAAAATGATACCCCTTGCGTGTGCTTCAGTCCCTCCTGTAACAGTTCCAACCCTGTAAAATCGTTCCTTTCCTTTCAGATCCAGACGTTCACACAGAGCCGAGTCGCTAGTGTAGATTCGCTCCTCTTGGCCTTACAACAATAGACGATTTATTCTCTAGAATGTTCTTGGTAGCCTCACCCACCTTTCACGTTTCGATCCTGAGCGATTTGGAGTGCGGCTAAACTCGCAGCTGCGTCCATGGGAGGTTGTCTGTCGACCAGCAAGAACAACCACGCGTCGCAACCGATCGCTTCGGATCAGGTCCGTTGAATCGCGCTTCGTTCACCAATCGTTCGCACGATGGTTGGATGAAGATTGTAAGCCAAGACTCTGGATCTGTGATTGGATTCTATCCAACGGGACATTCCTGTTCAGGCTCGATTCTCTTTGTGCACGTAAGGAGTGTACGTCGCCAGAATGAATGCGGGAAAGACGAAATAGTGGTGACTCTGGATGATAGATTCGACCTAAATGTGGTGGTTTGTCGAATCGAGTACACGAGGTACGCGTTACAGAAGCGTACTTACAAATCCCTTCTGATTGTCTCGCGTGGATCGTGAATCCAAAGGATTCGCGAGCCTTTCACAGATTATGGGTCCGATCTCCAGTCTCCTTACACACATTCACACCATCCCGATCCTCTCATTCGTCGGATTTATGCAGAAAGATCAAGACGAACCTCCAGCCCGGCCTCGACCCACTCGGGAAACGATTCTTGAGACGTCCTAAAAATCATTCACACCTTCCTGATTCCCTCTCGCCCACGCGATCTCTGCAGAAAGGTCAAGATGAACACCCGGCCCGGCCTCGCCCCACTCGCCCCACGCGCAATCGATCGGAAGCCGCGGTTACCGCGTGCCTTCCGCCCGTCTCACCCAAGCATTACTACCGCCGAACGGATGACGTCACGACGAGAACCGATGGCGCCACGACTCCATCCGTTGGAGTGGATCCCGCCAGGGGAGCAGATGACGTCATGCGGAAGGGGTCGGATGACGTCACGCCTAACGGCGTACATAGCTCAGCGGCGAAGGGGGTTTCCCTGGATAGAGATGGCGCTGCTTCGGTGAGGATGGTGATCCCTCCATAGGCCCCCTAATGGAACCATTGGCGTTGCCATTCTGCCATTCCTTCGTTCCCTTCCTTCGCCTTTACGGAATGTCCCTTTATTGATTCATTTCTGTATTTGTCTGGAGGGGAAGTGATTTCATGGCGCCGCATTGTCCCTGAACGTGACTCCATGATAGCTTCGATACGCCCTGATCAGCTTTCGTATGCGCCGTTTGTTCATGCTCCCTCTTCCCCTACCCCCTCCCCCTTCCCCCTTCCCCGTTCCCCCTTCCCCCTTCCCGCTTCCCCCTTCCCCCCGTCCCCTCCCGCTCCTCCCCCCTCCTCTAACCCCGCTCTTACATTGCCTCTGCGAAGGGAGCGGCGCTAGCATTGGAGTCGAACCCAACATCCCCCACACCACTGCAGCACCACCAGCACCAGCAGCAGCAGCAGCAGCAGCGGCAGCAGCAGTCCAAGTCACCCCAGCGCTACCAACAGCTGCAGCAAACGTCGCTGCATCCCCAAGCGCGCTCCCCTGAACCCACCCGGTGGCCGCCCGAGCCCCCGTTAGAGTCACACCATGGAAAAGGGACCACCCGAAGGGGAACCCGAGAGGGGGGGATAGGAGACCCAGACGTACCTGGTGAAGAGGTCAGTCAGGCGAGGGATGTTTCTTCTCGAGGGAAGAGCGCAGCTGTGGTGAATGCAGGGGCGGGCGAGGCAGGTGAAGAGCGGGGGGAGAGTGAGTCGGGGGACAGCTGTGCTGCACGCGAAGCGCCAGCAGGAGCAGCTGAAGCAGCAGGTGAAGGAGCATCGAGAGCGGAAGTAGCAGGCGCAGGCCCAACCAAGGTACCAGACTCAGCAACGGGAGGGACTGCCGCAGCAGGAGCCATAGGAGCGTCAGCAGCAGCAGCAGCAGTAGCTGGAGTAGCAGCGTCAGCAGCAGCAGCAGCAGTAGCTGGAGTAGCTGCGTCTACACCACGACCACTAGTACCGGCAAGCGCGATGGGAAAAGTCCCAGGGCCTGCAGAAGTGACGAAACTCCCCGTACCAGAGTTCTTTCCAGACACGGCTGCTGGAGACCCAGCAGACGCGTGGGTGAGCCGGCCGCCCGTGGACGAGGGCAAGCCCATCCGGTGGCGCAAGGGCGAGCTGATCGGTGCGGGCGCGTACGGGTGCGTGTACATGGGACTCAATCTGGAGTCGGGCGAGCTGCTGGCCGTGAAGCAGGTGCTTATTCCTTCTGCCTCCACCACCAAGGACAAGGCGCAGGTGAGAGGGACTGCCTGGGGGTGTGGGTGTCTGGGCGTCTGCCTGGCTGTATGGGTGTCGGGGTGTGCTTTGGCCGCCTGAAAATGCCTGCGTGAAAGGAGGCGAGCTGATAGGAGCGGGCGCGTACGGGTGCGTGTACATGGGGCTAAATTTGGAGTCGGGCGAGGTGCTGGCCGTGAAGCAGGTGCTTATTCCTTCTGCCTCCACCACCAAGGACAAGGCGCAGGTGAGGATGGGGGCTGGGGGTGTGGAGGCGGAGGTGGCAGTACTGAGGAATCTCTCGCAAACTGCTATCCGTTCCGCGATTGTTTGCTAGGCTTCACGTGTTCCTTTCACCTGTGCTATCATCTGTGTGCCTGCATCAATGCAGGAGTACATCAAGGGATTGGAAGCGGAGGTCGCAGTTCTCAGGAACCTCTCACACCCAAACATCGTGGTGAGACAGGCAAATGCCAGGCCCTTTAGCTCATCTGGCGTTTTGAGACGTCTCAAAACCAAACATCGTGGTGAGACAGGCAAATGCCAGGCCCTTTAGCTAATCTGGCGCCAGCACCATCCTGTTTGCAAGCGTCAGTAGAAAGTCTCTGTTCAAGGTTTTGAGACGTCTCAAAACACTTCTTCATACACGTGGCAAAAGCCAGGTCCTTTAGCTAATCTGGCGCCAGCACCATCCTGTCTGCAAGCATACGTAGAAAGTCTCTGTTCAAGGCTCCTTGCGCTGCTCCCGCATAATCACACAACACCTGCTCTAACACCTGCTTCTGCACCCTCGCGTGATGTGTGGCAGCGCTATCTGACTTTTGAGTTGACTCAAATGTCAGGGCTCCTTGCTTTGCACTCGCATTGTCACATGACACCTGCTCTAACACCTGCTTTTGCACCCTCCCAATATGTGGCAGCGCTATCTGGGCACGGCCAGGGAGGACGAGGCGCTTAACATCTTCCTTGAGTTCGTCCCTGGGGGTTCCATTGCCTCTCTGCTCAACAAGTTTGGGTGCTTCACGGAAAAGGTCCGGCTGGCTGGCTGACAGACACAGAACTTGATCATTCTTTTCTTTTCTTTTCTTTTCTTTTCTTTTCTTTTCTTTTCTTCCTTCCATCTTGTCTTGTACTTCTGGGTTCTAATGCGTCTTGTGTTGACCTTCGGAGCATATTTCTGCCTTTTGCTTTCAGTGATATCTTGTTGCTGATTTATTTATTGTTTTGCTGTGTTGTGTTGTGTTCTGTGCTGGCAGGTCATCCGCATGTACACGCGGCAGCTGATGACTGGCCTGAGCTACCTCCACTACAATCACATCATGCACCGCGATATCAAGGTGAGGCTTCCTTCACTACAATCACATCATGCACTGGGAGTGCTACAAATTCCTTCTCGTCCTTTTCAACAGCCGTCCTGCCATTGTTCCACAACCTCTTGCTGATTCAGCCCATCCAAGGCGCGCCAGCGCTCTGATCACAGCATATTCTTCCCCTATTCTTCCCCTATTCTTCCCCTATTCTTCCCCTATTCTTCCCCTATTCTTCCCCTATTCTTCCCCTATTCTTCCCCGTCCTTCAAAACAGGGCGCCAACATCCTAGTGGACAACAGAAGGTGCATCAAGCTGGCAAGTCTCAAGCTGTCAACTCCCGTTTTCGTCCAACCCCCCCTCGCCCGGCCCCCCTCCCCCACCAGGGCGCGAACATTCTGGTGGACAACAGGGGGTGCATCAAGCTGGCGGACTTTGGGGCGCACCCTCCTCTTCCCCTCCCCTCCCCTCCCCCTGTTCTCCCCACTTATCCTCCCCCCTCCCCCTTCTCCCCCACCAGTGGACAACAGGGGGTGCATCAAGCTGGCGGACTTTGGGGCATCGATCCACAACCCTCCGCTCCCCTTCCGCCCCCACCTGTTCTCTCCACGTATCCTCCCCACACCCCCCCCTCCACAGGGCGCGAACATTCTGGTGGACAACAGGGGGTGCATCAAGCTAGCGGACTTCGGGGCGTCACGGAAGTTAGCAGATCTGGCAACGATGAGTGGGCACAAGTCCATGAAGGGCACTCCCTACTGGATGGCGCCAGAGGTCATCAAGCAGACGGGGCATGGCAGGTGGGTGTGTGGGTGGGCACGTGCGTGCGTGTGCCTGTGTGCCTGTGTGCCTGTGTGCCTGTGTGTGTGGGGATGGCGCCAGAGGTTATCAAACAGGCGGGGCACAGCAGGCGGGCTGCCCACTCTTTGCTTGTCGAAACGAGAGGCTTGGCATGTATAGCTCATAGGCCTCTGTTGAAACAAGGGATCTCCCGCCCGTGTTTCAACCGCTCCTTGTTTTCTTCCGCATGCCCTTGTGCTCGCTCTCCCACACTGCATCTTCCTTACAGCAGGCCAGCAAACATCTGAAATGTGGCGTGCATAGTCATTGAGATGGCAACAGGAGGCAAGCCTCCTTGGAGCGAGGTCAGACCGTGGCGGTGCCGCCTTCCCTCCGCAACTGCTGCTTGTTTTTCCCTCATGCTCCCGCCCTCCGTCGCTGCCTTCCTCCTGCAGACATCTGGAGTGTGGCGTCGGTTATCGAGATTGCAATGGGCAAGCCACCCTGGAGCGAGCTCGCACATCTTCCACCCTTTTTCACCCCTCTCAACCGTTCCCTCTCCTGCTGTCCCTCGCTGCAGGCCAGCGGACATCTGGAGTGTGGCGTGCACAGTCATCGAGATGGCAACAGGCAAGCCACCCTGGAGCGAGTTCCTCTCCCAGGTACCATCCCTCTTTCCGTCCACTCTTTCTCCTCACGTCTTTCTCCTCACGTCTTTCTCTTCACGTCCTTCTTTTCGCACACCCTCCCGATTCCCAAGCCCTTCACCCCTCGTTGAGCAGCCCTTCACCGCTTCCACATTGCACAGTCCAACGGCCCACCCACTTGATCCACACTGACCCAAGGGCCCTCAGCTCATTGTGTGTTCCCCCCCCTAATGCACAGGCTGCGCTCACCATGACCCCCTCACCGTCTCCCCCCTTATTACTCATTACTCAGGTGTCAGCGCTGTTCCACATAGCACAGTCCAAGGGGCCGCCTCTCATCCCCGACCATCTGTCTGCGGACGCAAAGGACTTTCTGCTGCGCTGCTTCCACCGGTGAGCGTGGTAATTTGCTGGCATGCGTGCATGGTCCAAGGGCCCGTTTCCCCTCTGCTCCCAGGACATAGCATGGCACCACGCTGACACCTTCCCTCAGCACATAGCCCAGTCCACGTTCCAAGGGCTTCCCGTCCTTCCCGACCACCTCTGTGCCGATGCAAAGGACTTTCTGCTGCGCTGCTTCCACCGGTGCAGCCCTCCCTCTCTGCTACTGTCTCCGAAGGGCATGCTTGTGACTCCTTTTGAGAAGTCTTGAAGCTTGTGTTCTGTGAGGGTTTTCATCCTCTCTCTCTCAAGCCTCCGCCACAGTTGCTTTCAGTTTTCCCCCTCTCATTTGTTCTCGCAATTGTCTATGCACATATGTTCCCATACCCCTGTGCGTGCCACTCCTCAGGGATCCAAACAAGCGCCCAAGTGCGGCTGAGCTTCTCAAGGTAAGCCTTTTGACCTAGTAGTTTGGCCTGGCACGCTGCTCTTTCAGGTGTTTTTTTCTTTCTTTCGATTTCCTTTTTCTTTTTTCTACAATGCACTTCATCCGAGTTCTACTGTGTAGCCTATGAACATCGTCATCCTCTGCCCCTCCCACCTCCCCTTGTATCCTTCCTTTTCCGCTACCCCACCTCTGTCACCTTCTCCCCCCATCCCTCTGCTCTCTCCTCACAGTCACTTGCTCCTCCCCCTCTCATCTCTCTCTCCCACCCCTTGTTCTTCCTTCTTCCCCTGCCCCTCCTCTTGATTACCGCAGCACCCCTTCCTAACAGACATGCCTTCGACCATGGATGACACTCCGACAACCCCCCCTCGCTCCACCACCACAACAGCAACAACAGCAACAGCGGTTAAGGCAGAAGCAGTAGCAGCAGCGGGAGGAGGAGGAACAGCAGCAGTGGCGACTGCAAAAGCAGGCACGCCCGCAAATGTAGCAGCAGGCACCCCACTCTCTCCCACTGCTCGTGGGAGGTTGCAGGGGTCAGCTGTCACTGCTGCCGCTGCTGCTACAGCTGCTGATTCGACCCTCAATGGCTTAAGAGAGGTCAGTGACGGTGTCGATCTCTGTGTCAGTGTCAGTGTCTGTGTCAGTGTCAGTGTCGGTATCAGTGTCAGTGTCGGTGTCATCCCGTGTCAAACCAGGGTGCTTGCCGTGACAACCCAGTATTCGTCTGCACTGCTACCAAATCGTTCATCCCCTGTGGCCACATCTCTATCGTCGCCGCATCGATCCCAGCCTTTTTTTCTCCCCCTTCTTTCTCCCTCCCCCTCCCTCTCCCCCTCCCTCTCCCTCTCCCTCTCCCTCTCCCCCTGTTATACTCTATTCTCACCACCCGTTTCAGGCTCCTCTCTCCCCCACCAGCCCTCCGGACTACTGGCATGACACGCTCCCTGGTAGCCCCTCTCTTGCCTCCCCTCACCATCACGAACACGCTCCCACCAGCCCCCGCCTGGCTGATAATACTGACACCCCTACGTCGCGCTTAACACACCACCTGACGCCTCCCACCTCGCGCCTAACACCCCAGAACACGCACCACTCGCACCTAACACCACCCCATGACACCTTACAGAAGCCTTTAGACAGTGACTCGCCCGACCCTGCTGCTTTTGCTTCCTTCTCCCATAATCTGGCTGATCTTACCCACTCAAGGGACGCTGGGGAACAAGGGCAGGGACACGATTGGCAGGGGCAGAGGCAGGGACAGGGGAAGGAGCAGAGGCAGGAGCAGCAGGGGAAGGGGGAGGAGGGGAAGGAAGGCGAGGGGGTGCGCATGTCACGGGCAAATCTCATGTCCGTAACCAGCACGGCATGGCAGCCTGGAACCTTCTCGGAGCTTTCTGACCTCTCGTTTCGGGTGAGTTTCTACAGGCGTACAAGCGAACAAGTTTTTTTTTTCGTTCTTTCTTTCTTTCTTTCCCCGCTCATCTATTTTCTCCCAATAATTTTTCTGCCTCCATCTTCCATACCCCTCGTTCCCCCCTCCCCGTCAGAGCGATTTCAACCCGATGGAAGAGCCATCGCACAACGACCCTCTGGGCTCATACGTGACAGCAGCGCGAGGGCACGGGGGCGAGTCGTCTGCTTGCACTGAGGACGAGGTTACTGGCCCTTTCAGGCAGCACGTTGGTGTGGATAGTGCCTCCCGGGATGATGTGTTCAGTTATTCGGTGGGCGGGACAAGCAGTAGAGCGGTGGGAGAGAGGGGAGAACGGGGGGAGGGAGAGGGAAGGGGGAAGGAGAGGGGAGACGAGGGGGAGAGTGGGGAGGTGGAGGGAGGAGAGAAGGAGGGATGGGAGGGGGGCAGGGCTGGTGGAGGGAGGGAGGGGCAGGAGAGGGGAGGGGAGGATCGTGTGGCTGTGATGCTCAGCCGTGGAAGTGCGGGCGGGCAGGAGTTGAAGCAAGGGCAGGAGAGGAAGGAAGGGCAGCAGAAGCTGCCAGTGGAAGGGCTGAGTGGTGGTGAGAGGTTGAGACCGGCAGCAGGTGTGAGGCCTTCGCTGCCGCAGCTGGACCTTTCTCTAGCAATGTCCCACGGACAAGTGGGGCTGGGAGGGCTGGAAAGGGGGGAGAGTGAGGCCTATTCGGAAGAGGTGCTGCCTGCTGTGTGTGGTCAAGGGAGTGAGGCAGGAGCAGCGTCGGAAGAGGCAGATGAAGTGCGGGCAGCGCAGCAGAGAGTGCAGCAGGCAGCGGAGCAGGGAGAGAAGCAGCGAGAGCAGCAGGCAGCAGTGAGTGGTGAGAACGTCGGTAGGCCGCCGTCTCCTTCAGTGCTGAAGCAGGGTGGTGTGGGTGGGTTGAGTGGGCTCAGTGGGGCGGGTGGGGCCGGTGTTGTGGGTGGGTTGAGTGGGATGGGCCACACTAGACCAGGACAGACGACCATCACCAGCCGGCCTGCTGGGCTCTCCCCCTCTCCCCGCCGCCATCGCGAGTCCTCTCCTGCTCGCAAGAAACGGATTCTGAAAGAGAGCTTCGTGCTTCCACGGGATTTGTCACCCTCTGCCCGCATTCAACCAGGAGCAGCAGCTGCAGCAGTGACAGGAGCAACGGCCGCTGCAGCAGCAGCAGCAGCAGCAGCAACAGGAGCACCAGCACCAGCAGTGGTGACGGCAGCGGCAACAGGACCTGCAGTGGCCCTCTCTTTACCCTCCACTGCCACTCAAAGCCCGTCCCCTTCCCTCCCCTCCCCCTCCCGCCGCTCCGCCTCCCCCTCTTCCTCCTCCTCTGCCCGCCGCTCCCACCACCTACCTTCCCGAATCATCCACTCAATCAGCCAGTCAGCTATCTCCGTTCCTGGACCCGTCTCATCCCCCTCCTATCACAGCTTCGAAGGGCCCCTCTCAGGGAAAGCAGGGGAAGGCAATAGGGTTACCCGCACGCCCTCTCACGGGAGTGAACAGAGAGCAGTGGGGAGTGAGAGGAGTGAGAGTGAGAGCAGAGGAGGGGAAGGTGGGTCGGGGAGGGCGCCGACTCTTTCGCCGCGGCCGCCCGGGATTGTCAGCAGCAAGTCGGGCAGCTGGGTGAACAGTAGCGAGGGCGACTTTTCTGGGCGGCAGCACCCGGGCAGCTTTGAAGGTTTTGGGCAGGAGGGAAGGTTTGGGGGGCAGGGGAGTGGGGTGCTGCACAGAGGGGGAAGAGGGAGTGTGAGCAGCAGCAGGGCTTCGGTTGGAGGGGTTGGAGGAGGGATAGGAGGAATGGGAGGAGGGTTAGGAGGTGGGAGTGGGGGGTCAGTAGTGGGGTTAGGAGGAGTGGGGAGGGTTTTGAGTGGTGGGGGAGGGGTGCCGGTGGGGAGGAGTGGATCGGGGGGGAGCTTGTTCGCGAGTGGAGTGGGAGGAGGGCTTTACCCTTCTGGAGGGAACGTCTTGGCTCTGCTACATGACAGCACTGACAGGTGGGTACTTGGAATCAAGTATTTTTTAGGCGCCTCAGAAGCTTTTCTTTGCGAGTGGAGTAGGAGGGGGGTTGTACCCTTCTGGAGGGGATGTCTTGGCCTTGCTACAAGTAATTACTGATGTTTAGTTGAAAGAAAGTGAGGGACACAACGTCTTGGCTCTGCTACATGACAGCATTGTTTGGTTGTAGCAATCTAGGTTGTCACAGCCCGTCACTCTCTTGTTTTCAGACTACTTGCTAAGTACTCGCTGACTCAATCCTGTTGCCCGTCCCTTGCTCATGTCATCTGCAGCTTTGTTGGCCAATCGGGGGACCTGAAGCGGCAGCAGTGGGAGGCAGAGTTACAGCAGGAACTGGCGCTGCAGAGAGGTGTGTGTGTATGTAGTTAGGTTACTCTCGAAGATTTGTTATTTATAGAAGTCAGGGTGTGTGGCATCCTCTTTTACAAGTGCTCATGCCCCCCCACCCTCCCGTCTATTGCAGAGGAGAAGCGCAAGCAGATGTCACGGTCCAGCAGCAACGGCAGTGCTGCAGGTGGGGTTGGCGCCAGCCACGCCAACAGCATCGGCAGTGGCAGCATCGCTAGCGGTATAGGTAGCGCAAACACAAGCATCAGTGCGAGCGCAAGTGCGAGTGCGAGTGGGTCTCGAGAGTTCTTTGGACCGCCTGGCTCCGTTTCCTCTCCGCGTCGAAACCCGCCAGTCTAACTGCCAGGAGCAACTACTGAGAAGCTTCCGATTGACTGCTATCCCTAAGATCTTGCTGAGCCTACCCACAACACACTTCTTCCACCCACCCAGCCAACAGCCCGTTCAAGCACCCATTCTAACACCCATCCACCCAGGCTAACCACTCCTCACTAACCTTCCAGCAGCCTCGCAGTCTCCAGCAGAACTTGATTCAAGATGCCTATTTTTTTCAGCCACCCTTCCATCCATCCCCTCACCACATCCATCCACCCACCCACCCAGGCTAACACACCTCCCTAACCTTCCTTAGGCTCCAGATTTCTGATTGACCTGAAGCTGCTGCTACCGTAGTAAGATGGCCTTGGACCCAGCCCAACCTGACCCAACCCAGACCAACTCAACTCAACCCAGCACACATAAGCTTACGGTAGTGGTGCTGGTGCTTAGTTATTGAGTGCTTCAATTCAACTGCTCCGATTCCTGGTTCGCTGGTGGCTGTTGTGTTGCAGTTTGCAATGCCAGCTGCGAGTGTACTGGGTCGGTAGAGTGGCTGTTGCAATTGCAACCTATATCATTATATTCCCTCTACTAGTATGTTCTTTTGCGGTGTGTTCGAATTCGTAGTGGTGTTTGTTTGCAGAGTATTCTTATTACAGCCCCGCTTGATCACTAGCTTCGCAAGGTGTACAAGGGCTATAGTGTACATGCTATACAACAACGGCAGCAAATTACGTTATACATAGTAGATGCTTTCTTCTACCATATGCCTGTACTGGTAACTTGAATACTTGCTCGTCTTCATCTGCTTTTGAGTCGACTCAAAAGCATTTTACATAGTACATGCTATCAACTGTATTCCTGTACTGGAAACTAGAATACTTGCTCCTCTTTCTGACAGCGAATCATCTGCCAGCTCAGACAGCCAATCAAAAACCTCCAGCTGTGCAGCTCTCCTGATTCCACCTGCTAGTGTCATGCTTGCCTGCTTCAGTAAAGGCTGCTCTGCTACTGGCACTGTTCCTCTTTGCAAGAGCACCTGTGGTGGGGAGGTTAGAGTTGGTGAAGCTGTTGGGGCTGTTGGTGAAGCCATTGATTGCCAAGCAGCACCAGCAGGAGAAGAAGAAGCACCAGTAGCACCAGTAGCACCAGCAGCACCAGCGCCAGCAGCAGAGGCACCAACAGCAGCAGGAGAATGGGCAGCTGTAGCACGGCGGCGGGAAGCAGGGAAAGCAGCATTGGGAGGAGCAGCACCAAGAGAAGGAACAGCAGTGGGAGGAGGAGCAGCAGCAGCAGCGGGAGGAGCGGCAGCAGCAGGGGGAACAGGGCGAGCAGGGGCGGCAGCAGGAGCAGGGGGAGCAGGGCGGGCAGGGGCAGCGGAATTGGACCACTTGGCTCGTAGGGCATGGAGGATGGCCCGTGCCTCATGCACCGCTGCTCTCTGCTCCTCAGGCAAACCGGGACTCACTCTCTCACATGCTTCTGGACCGGATTTCTGACGAGCTAATCCGTCAGATGGTTCTAGACCGGACCTCCGACGCTCTAAACTCTCTGGTAATCTCTGACGCTCAAATCGCTCAGATGCTTGTGCCAATGCTCCTGCTCCTGTTCGTGCTCCTGCTCCCCCTGCTCCTACTCCTGCTCCGCCTCCTACTCCTGCTCCCCCTGCTCCTACTCCTGCTCCGCCTCCTACTCCTGCTCCCCCTGCTGCTGATGTCTCGTCTGCCCCACGTCCGCCTCCCCTTTTCCCTGCCTCCTCCGCCCCCCATGCTCCCTGGCGCCTCCCTTTGGCTCTGGCTGGAAGCCCAGCCGACCGGAGGCGGTGCAGGGGAGCGGGATGTGGCAGAGGAGCGGGGTGCGGCAGAGGAGCGGGGTGCGGCAGAGGAGCGGGGTGCGGCAGAGGAGCGGGGTGCGGCAGAGGGAGATGGGAGGCGGAAACTGGGAAAGAGGAGTTCGCCTGAGAGGGGTTGAGGGCAGAGACTGGAAAGGAGGGATTTGTCTGAGAGGGGTTAGAAGCAGAGACTGAGAAAACGGGATCAGAGGCGATGACATAGACAGGGGGGTGTGGAAGGGAAGGGAGGGGAGCGGGACGTATGGGTCCGAAAGCGAAGAGATGCGAGAGAAAGGCGGAAGGGGTGGTGGGGGTGGGGAAGAGAAGAGGAGGAGCGGGTGGGAGGAGGGTGGAAGAACTGTGGAAGAGAGGAGGGGAGCCGTTGGAGTCCTGAGAGGGTGGAGTGTGGTGGGAGAGGGAGGTGGGGGAGAGAGGGGGAGTGGAGGTGGGAGAGAGAGGAGGGGTGGAAGAAAGAGCAGGGGTGGGAGAGGGGAAAGGGGTGGGAGAGGGAGGAGCGGGAGAGGGACGAGGCGTGCAGGAGGTGTGGGGAGATGGGGAGGCTGTGAGCGATTGCGGTGCATTGCTTGGCAAGGTCTTAGGAGAAGGAGGAGAATCAGATGTACCAGTGACTGCCAGGGCATTGGCAGCATGAGGGTTGGTTGTTGGTGCATGAGTAGCATCAGGGGCAGCGGAGGTGCTTTCCCTTGCATCAACGGAAGGCTTTATGGCGTTTCCACCTGCGTCACGAGCATCTGAAGAAGCACCTAAAGCAGCACCTGAATTAGCACCTGAAGCATCATCTGACGCACCGACATGCCCTGCACTATCGGTGCCTCCTCGTGGCAACTCTGAGCCGTCCATCAAGCCCCATCTCCTCTGAGAATGCATCACAGCCGTTGATCCTCTAAGAGCCATCTCCCTGAGCTCACACGCCTCCCTGCCATGATGCCACGCTGTCAGTCTATGCACGCTGACGCCACCCACCAACCGAGCTTCGTCTCCTCCAGGTGTTACTTCAGGTGATTTCACAGGTGAATTTCCCAGTGATCTTTCAACTGGGACCTCTTCAGCCACTACAGGACAGAATTGTTCTGGATGAGGTGTCCAGCCAGGTGCTGTCACTCTGTCTTCTGCTGAAACAGCTGCTTCCAGGACTTGAGACCTAGGAACACAAAATCGCTGCTCAGGTTCTGCTTTACTTGAAGGCGATTGGGTCGAATCGAAAGTCGCCTGCGGTTGTTCCAGATCTCGTGTTGCTGCCTTGTGTTCCTGCAACTGCTCCAGTTGTCGCTTCTTCGCTGCAACGCGTTCCTCCTGCTGCTGCTGCTGTTGCTCCACATGCCCTCCTATTTCTTCCTCACTCTCTCTCCACACATCTCCCTCCGTCCCCTCTGCCGCCCGCGTATCAAATCTCGCCGCAACCACCGAGGTGCCGCCCCACTCCCCAACCCCCCCCAGCGATCTCGACAGCCTATCCAAGCGCGCCAGCTGGACCGCCAGCTGGCATGACAGCCCTGCCACGGCTGCTTCTGCTGCACCGCCCTCCCTCACTGCCTGCTCCCGCTCTGCTGCTAGTGCTGCCAAATGCGCTCTCAGTCTGGCAGCAGTATCCTGAGGAAAATAAGGAATGCCACTTTTGTTTTGAGATGCTTCAGACGCCTCACGAGCCTCAGGGGCCCCAGGTGCCCCAGTTGAAACGTTTTTTATTTTTCTCTCATGCGAAATAAGCTCTTTTGTGCTGCTACCTTGCAAAACCTGCTTTACTCTGCTCTCATACAAATCACGATCTACTCTGGACTCGTTTGAATCCTGATGGTCCGCATCCCTTTGAACCGAACCAAAACACGCACCCTGATATTCAAGACACACACACCCTTGCTCCTGCTCCACACCGCTGCTACTGCTGCTGCCAACTCTGGCTGAATTGCAGGAGCTGGTTTGTTTAATCTGCTGCTTGTAATTACCACTCCTGTGCTCCTGCTCCACACCGCTGCTACTCCCTCTGCCGGCAGTGCAGGAGCTGCTATCAGTGCTCTGCTGATTGTGATAATCAATTAGCCGTTCCTGATCTATCCTGCTGCTCCTGTTCCTGCTGCTGCTGCTGCTGCTGTTCCCTCTGCCTGCAGTTCTAGAGCTGCTCGCAGGGCTCAGCTGATTGTGATAACCAATTAGCCATTCCTGCTGCACCCCACTGCTGCTGCCGCCGCCCCCGCCTCTGCCTGCATTGCAAGAGCTGCTATCAGCAGCTTGCTGCCACAGGTGATCCCGCTCAACCCTACTGCTGCTGCTGTTGCCGCCTCTGCCTTCACTGCGAGAGCTGCTTTGGGCACTCTGTTGTTGGCAGTAATCACTCGGTTGCTCTCGCTCCACCCCACCGCTGCTGCCGTCTCTACTACCCCCCTCCTCCGAATTCTCTACAGCCATGAAACGTCCCAAAACCGAAGAGCAGCTGTTAACACTTTGCACCCTGACCTCCTCATTCCCCGCCCTCCTGTGCCTATCCTCCTCATTCCCCGCCCTCCTGTGCCTATCCTCCTCATTCCCCGCCCTCCTGTGCCTATCCTCCTCATTCCCCGCCCTCCTGTGCCTATCCTCCTCATTCCCCGCCCTCCTGTGCCTATCCTCCTCATTCCCCGCCCTCCTGTGCCTATCCTCCTCATTCCCCGCCCTCCTGTGCCTATCCTCCTCATTCTCCTCCCTTCTGCCCCTATCCACCTCATCCTCCGTCCCAAGCCTTCCCTCCTGATTCCCTGCCTTTCTGTAACTAACCCCCTCATTTCCCGCCCCCCTGTGCTTTTTCTCCTCATCCTCCTCCCTCCCACGCCTCCTCTCCTCATTTTTCGCCCTCTTCTTCTCCCCGCCTACCTTCACCCTTTGACCAAACCCGTTATGTGCTGCTAACTCGCTTCCCCACTCCTCTCCACCCCCCAAACCATCCACACTCTCTCTTCCCACCCCCTCACCCTCGATCCTCTCTTGCCCTCGGTTCACCACCCCTCCTTCTTCCCCCACCATCAGTCTCACCTTCCGCAGTTGCGCCTTCACCAGTTCTCCCTCCCCCATGAGAATCCGCCTCTCCCTCTCCCCACTCTCCACCCGCTCTTCAAGCCTCCGCATCTCCTTCCCCATCCGCTCCGCTTCCCTCTCCGCCGCCCGCCTTTCCGTCCACATCTGCTCCATCTGCCGCCCGGTTTCCACCACTTGCGCTTCCAAGCGCGCCACTTCCGCCGCCCAGAATTGCTGCTGCGCGTTTAGGGATTCACGCACTTCCTGCAGGAGTTTTTCCATGTGCTTTTCGAATGAATTCCGCTCCGATATAATCTGTTTCTGTAAAAGCAGAATGACCTGCTCTGGGGTTTGACCGTCAAGCCAAGAAGGAATGAATCCTTGCGCTGCGGGGGGGGCTAGCGCTATTGGTGCTGCGGATGCTGCTGCGGGTGCTGCTGCTGCTGGCAGTTCTGCTGCTTCTGGTGATGCTGGCCTCGTGGTAGCTCCTGCTTCCGCTGCCGCTGCTGCTGCCGACCCTGATAAAAGCATGTCGTCAAATATTGGTTCTGCCTCCAAGGCTAACAGTCTACGTGATGGGTGCTCCTGTAACGCGTGTTCCTGTGACGCGTATTCCTGTAATCTACGTTCCTGGAGCAATCGTTCTCGTAGTCGTCGTTCTTGTAACCATCGTTCCTGTAACGGTCGTTCGTTAGCATTATGCTCCTGCAGCTGCTGACCCTGTAACGGCGACTCCCGAGGCTGAGATACATGCACGTGGTGTTCCTCTATGGATTGTTCCACTAACGAAACTCCTCCGTGCCCTTCGTCTAACGGCAGTGCTGCGGGCGGCATGGCGAGGTGAGGCATGGTTACGCGTAACGCTGTAACCAGCGGCATGGCAGCGGTTGAATCTGCTCCCTTCCTCCGTGTCGCTGTATTCTCGGGATAAATTTCAGAACAAGCAACAGCAGATGTGCCAGCCCATGAGCTGACAGAGAGCTTCAACTACTACCACAGCAGCTGCTACACCTAACGACTAGGCATGTGGCACATGCAACTATCATGCAAGTATACTATGGGAAACCGGTGCGTTTGATTCGGAAACGGTGCGGAGCGCTTATGGATGAATGGAAGTGTGTTTGGAGTCCTCTCCACCTGTGTTTGTCCTGATTTTTCTGCAGATTTGGTAGAGAATTACGTATCATTAGAGTGTACAATTTGTTCTGTAATGTCGGCATTCTTGTACAGTTTATTGCGGTAAGATTTCAGAAATGCATACAAATTGTGGAGCCGCATCCTTCGCTGGCAACGAAGTGTGATTCGGATCATACCGCTCAGTTGTCATTCGTCAAATTCTAGGCGAAGAACGGAATCCCACCCTTGTAGACTCCACGTCATCCAATCTTCCATGCCAGCGCTTCTTGTTCCCAGCTTACGATTGGTGCTGGTTTATCCACCCGAATTTCGCTTCGCGCTTCTGGGAATCCGATCAGCTCGACAATTTCTGAGGCTTGGCATGTGGAGAATTTTCTCCCTGCTCAGTGTTGCTCCTGCTGTGGCTGGTCGCTCCGTGTCTGCTCCCACTGCAGTTCCTCGTCACTCCCAAGGAATCCCTGGCCTGGTCTGGTCCAATTGCCACAACTTCAGCGTCATTGAAGGAGAGTAGCTCCTAGCCTAATCACTGTCTTTAGGGATTGAACCGCAAAACTGTTGGGTGGGGGTATTGGTGTACTGTTTTAGTATCATCCGTTCGGACGGGTTTGCCTGATCCTTCTCATAGTCTTTTCACCAGTTTTCTTCGACAGGCAGTAGCGAGACACGATGTCGAAGTCGAACGATAAGAAGAAGGAAAAGACTGGTGAGAAACGATTACTAGCCGTGGGATTACTCGTACGTTAATCTTATAGAAGAAAACAGTGTTCGTCTTCTGGTTGCTCGGCCTGCAAACTCTCGCCTGCATAGCACTAACTGAAAGCCAATTCATCACCCTGTTGACGGTCGTAGTAAGGCGCGTTGATCCACGCATGTCGTTCCTTATCTTTGTCTGCCTATTTCGACGGAATGAGCAGCGCTTCTGGATGGCATGGTCACGGACCTGTTCAATCGTGTGGAGAAGCCCATCGAGTACCACAAGCTCTCCCCATCCGAACACATGGACAGCATCACCGCGATCCATAGGATCCTGTCGCAGGTGAGCTCGCATGGCCGCGCGAGTGTGCGATTACTACCGCGTACAGACTCTGATACCTCGGGGTGGGATCAGTTACGCGAGAGCAACAAATGCGCGGATGGAATGCCGTTGCTTGCAAAGTCGCGTGCTCGCATCTGACTTTCTCTTCCTCTTGAGTTTCTAAAGCTGGGCGCGGTCACGTACGATAGCGCAAGCAACAGTGACATGTAAACGCACTCGATTAACGGGAAATGCAGGGTCAAGTTTCGACATTCCTTACCATTTAGAATCGAAATTCGTCGTTCCTCCACCCAAAAATGCTTCGGACATCCCTTTACCCTTTATTTTTTTCTCTCGCCAATGAAACCTTCTGCTCCTCTCTCCCTTGCTTGCTCACCCTTCAGATTCAGAAGCACGAGAAGGGACGCTTTTCCACGGAGCCACCAGCCGATGCAGCTACTCGCATGAAGTACTTGCAGGAGTGGCTCGAGCAGAACAACGTGACGGTGGGTCCCGAATGAATCGACTGCAGTTGTTGACCATGACCTGCTAAGGCTAGTGCTGTTGACGATGAATATTAACGATTATGCGGTGCAGAATGACCTAGAACGGTTATTTCTGTTGACATCACCAGTAGCGGAACCATGTAGCCAGTCTGAGGTCTGTTTGCTTAGGATAAACTGGGAACGGATGCTACCACTTCGGCCAACCAACCACATTGCGTCTATCTAACATGTTCTGGGACTCCTCCACAAAATCTCCTGATTGGCTGCTCTTCACTTCCCCTAACGCGGACATTGTGACGTGTCAGGTTGACGGGGTCAAGCTCGACGGGAGTCTGCCCGAGGGTCCTGGGGTGGTGGCAACGCGTGACTTTAACGAGGGGGAGCTCGTTGCCTCGTTCCCGTCCGATCTCATGATGACTCAGCTTACTGCCGTCCAATCAGTTGTAAGTGCCCATCAGTCTTAGACTCAACAAGAATGTGGGTACCACGGGGTAATATGGAAGACGGAAACAATTCTCGCAACCGGAAAGTGTGCACATGTTTCCATCCATTTTGTGGCCCTGTTTCTCCCGCTGTTTCCTCCCTTACCTCCATGTCTTCGTGTGTTTTCTTACCGCGCGAGCAGAAGGACGTGGGGCTGATTCATTCCACGGACGTCTGGTTCCGGGCCGTGCCCTCCCTCATCCTCGCCATGCACCTGCTCTTCGAAAAGGTCAGTCCAGCACTCGCTCTCGGATGCACTTACTCCCATGCGCATGGAAACAGACAGTTCCACACTTTTTCTCAGACTGCAAGTATCACGCGTACAACGAGACATTTGTTTTTTTTGTCACATGTCTCACATAAAACCACACCTCATGCACCAATACCCCTCTTTCCTATACTGCAGCATCGCCCGGCAGGCTCCCCGTCCAAGTGGTTGGGGTACATCAAGTCGCTGCCAGGCCAGCACTGTCTGTCCGAGTTCAACCAGGACGCCTCCCCTGACGACATCATCCTGCCCCTCGCCTTCAGGTCAGCTACACAGATGAATTCCGGGCGAAAAGGGATCCCTGCTGCTTTCAAATGGCGGGCTATAATAATTCGTGCTTTCAAAGGTTTATTGGGAACGCATAGTTTTGGATGTTTTAGCCTGAGGTGATATCATGAGTTTCCAGTTATGATGCAATACCTTCCACTGTCCTTTTACCCCAAACCCCCTACCTCTCCCTCTCTCCTTTTCCCCACCCCTTCCCCGTCCCTGGATTACCTGTCTGTCACTGTGTGCCCATCCACCCCATCGACATGGTGCACAGTCTCGAGACCGTCTCGCTCCTGCAAGGAACCACGGTATGCCACACAGCCTCTTGCCCCTCTAGTACGTCATGCTGTATGCCTGTGCTGCACACCATAACCCAAACAGCACCAATGCAACTCTCACACTCATGTATGCACGGCCCACCTGGGTACCATTGAATGCTGCGCACAATAGCCAAGCATGGTTAAGTGTCTACCTGAGTACCACCAAATGCTGTGAACAGTCGCCAAGCAGCACCATCATGGCGCATGGTGCTGGCCCTTTTGTTTGAGTTTGTTCATGAATAGTTATCCTGTATTCCCGATTCCCTATCGCCCTCGCAGGCTCTGCCAGAGTACCACCGAATGCTGCGCACGGTGGCCAAGCAGTATTGCCACATGCGCACGGTGCTGCGGCAGCTGGGAGTCATCGCAGCCCCCCTCAAGACAGCGTCTAGGGAGTGGTTCTGCTATGCTGAGTTCCGATGGGCTGTCTCTGTGAGTATATGTTTGACCGTATGTGGATTGTTGTGTTGGGATGGAGCGCTGGACGCACTTTGCATGGCTTACCTCCCCTTGACTTCAAAACCGCGTCGAGGGAGTGGTTATGCTCTGCCGAGATCCAAGGGCTGTTTCTGTGGGTATGTTCTAGGCTTGATTTCGGCATGATGCAAGTGTGTTGATCTTTGGCTGGCGACTCGTTGGGGTATGGGCCGCGTGGTGTTGGTTTTCACTCACCAATTAGTGTCTTAACCACCTCCAGGCTCCAGTTTCCCCTCGTTGATCTTTTTTTCCTTTGGTTTTTCCCTCCCTGCTGCTCGTTGCACAGATGGTGATGATGAGGCAGACGCAGGTGCCAGTAACAGCAGAGGCACTAGAGGCAGCAGTGAAAAAGAACCCCAGTGCTGCTGCTGCAGGCGTTGCAGGCACCCCTGCTGAAGCTGCTGCCACTGCTGCTGCAACCGCCACTGCTGAGGCTGCTGAGGCTGCTGCCGCTGCTAGCACTGCTGCTGCTGCTGCTGGCGATGCTGCTGCTGCTGCTGCTGGTGATGCTGCTGCTGGTAGTGCTGACGCCAGTGCTGCCCCTGCTGCTGATGCTGCCGGCGCGTCAACTGCGGCGGCAGCTGCTGCTGGGCCTGTTCGCCAAGTGATGGCGCTCATCCCCTTTATAGACATGTTCAACCATGAGGTACGGGGGATAGCCTTGGAAAGTGGCCTGTTTGCCAAGTGATGGTTACCTTCCCGTTATAGACATGTTCAACCGCTATGTCGTTCTTATTGTTGTGTGCTTGTACAGGAGGGCCCTATAACGAGTACGTTTGGCGTTGGGAGCAACGTGATGGAGGTCG